TAGCCACTCAACACCTATTTGGTTCCCTTTCTTGTACATCCTCCGATCTAACACTTCTTAGCTCAACTTCCTTAAAAAAGCAATTGATAGCAAGTGGTAAGGAAGTGTTAGGGTTTTGCTTAGACCCAATTTTCTTTTTTAGCAACGATTCATGAAAAACTAGGTGTATTGAACTTCCTTATGGTAATTCCAAGTCCACCTACCCTATTTTTCACAAAACACTCGTAAGGACCATAAAACTAAGCACTCAATTTCTGATTCATTCATGTTGTTATAGAGGATTACTTGTAGGGCTACAATTTTAGGTAAAACATGTCTCCCTCTTAAAAAACCCTCTCGAATCTTCTTTTATCCACTTGATTTTTCATTCTTTCTTGGGCAACCATCAATTGTTGCTCGATTAGCCTCAATATTTCTTCTCGTTCTTGCATGTATGACTCCATTACCACCACATTAGAAGCTCTCTCTAGTACAATCGAGTGGATTGGGGGTTTGAATCCGTAAAAGGCTTCGAAAGGTGTGATCTTTAAGGAGCTATGGTAGGTTATGTTGTACCACCATTCGGCCAAGTAAAGCTAATTACTCCATTTCCTTGGCCTATGAAAGATCATGCATCTAAGGTAATTTTTAATATATTGATTCACTCTTTCCGTCCGTCCATCGGTTTGTGGGTGATGGGTTATGCTTATCAGTAGGTTAGTTCCCAACTGTGTGAAGAGTTCTTACCAAAAATAACTAGTAAAGATCGGGTCTCTATATGTAATTATAGTAACTAGAAGCCTATATAGTTTGTATACGTGTAAAAGAAAATGTTTGGCCACCGTAATGACTATATAGGGGTGAGATAAAGCAATATAATGATTATACTTAGTGAACCTATCCATTACTACCATGATAGTATACTTCCCTTCGAGGGTGGTAACCCTACAATGAAGTCCATGCTTAAATGCTTTCAAGCCTCTTTAGGTACTTGTAAAGGTTGTAGTAAGCCTAGGTAAAGGATATTCTCAACTTTGCATCTCCGACAAACATCATATTCCAAAACTTTCTTTTTGATATCTTGTTTCAATCCCGGCCATTAAAATAGTTGTCCGGCTCGGTAGTAGGTAGTTTTAAATCTCGAGTGCCTTCGTTAAGAGATGAATGCAATTCGGTTATGACTTTCCTCTTAAGTTCTCTTATATTCCCAACAAATAACTTTCCTATGTATCTCGACAAACCCCCGGTATAGGTGTAACAAAGTGGTAATTCTCCTTACTACGGGGCTATTCCAATTAGATTTTAGGATTTGGAATCCTTGCTATATCTATGCTTAACTTCTTCTAACCATTGTGGTTCCAACATTACGACTACCCCCGGTTCGCAGTGTTATGGTCGGCCTCATGCAACCTAGATAAGGCATATGTTGTAGGGTTTTCTCTCCCTTTCTTGTAGGCATTTGATAACCGAGTCCCATTAATTTGGTTAAGACTTTTTTTTGTAATTGCGTGTCTAATTTTTGTCTGTAAGAGGCATTTAAGGTCGAAGTGGTATATTTTGATAATAAAAGTGTTAGCTTTTAAATAGTGTCTATATTTATCAACGATGGTTAAGATAGCTACAGTTCCTTCTCATAAATAAATAGGCCCTAATTTTTTAAACTCAAAGCCTTGCTGAAATAAGCTATAGGTCTCCTACCCTATGTTAAAACAACCCCCATACCAATGTCACACGCGTCTGTCTCCAAAATAAATGGCTCCTTAAAGTTGGGCAATCCTATCACTAGGGTTGAATATATAGTTTCTTTAAATTGAACAAAAGCTGGTGTAGCCTCCTCATTCCACTTAAAAGGCATCCTCTTTTAACGGGTTGGTCAAAGGTTGGTCGATATTCTTATAGTTTTTTTTTATGAACTTCATGTAATAACCATTGAGTCTTACAAAGCCCCTAAGTGATTTGAGGTTAGTTGGAAGTGGTCATTCTTTTATGGCCTTAACCTTAGATGGATCCATAGCCACCCATTCACTTGTAATAATGTGGCTCAAATATTCCACCCTATCCACTCTAAAGGAACATTTAGACCTTTTAGCATAAAACCGATGTTGTCTTATTGTTTGTAGCAAAGCCCATAGATGAACTAAATGTTCCTCCAAACTTCCACTCGTAAACGAGAATGTCATAAAAAAAACCGAGTATAAATTTTGAGGAATTCAGCAAATACCTAATTCATCAAGGCTTGGAATATGGTCTGGTGCATTAGTGAGCCCAAATGACATTACCTTGAACTCATAATGACCATGATGAGTTTTAAAAGCTATATTTTGGGATGTCTTCTTCAGTCATCCCGATTTGATGGTAACTCGACCTTAGATCAATTTTTTTAAAAAATTATTACATTGTTTAGCTCATCCATCAAGTCTTCCATTAAAGGAATAGGAAATTTATCCTCTATAGTGATGCCATTCAGTCCTCCGTAATCAACACAAAATCTTCAAGAACCATCCTTCTTCTTAACTAATATCACTTGGTGAGGCAAAGAGATAGTGGCTAGGTTAGATTAAAGAAGTTTGCAGCATGTCTTTTACTAGCTTTTTCACTTCTGTTTTTTGAAAATAAGGATATTGATAGGGTCTTAAATTTACTGGTTTAGTGTTTGGTTTCGGAGAAATGGTGTGGTCGAATGCCTTATGTGGTGACAACTGCCTTGGTTCATCAAAAGCATCATCGTATTCCTCAAGAGGGAAGTCAAATTTGGATGTGCACTCTCTATAGTTTCTTTATTGACCATCATGAACATGTGTCTCATGACCGCCTTCAACCCCTTTTAAAATTGCTTTTGTACTCCATTTTCTTTTAATAAGTCTGTAGGAGCCATCTCCTTTTTAGCTTTTAAAGTTTTCACTCCCCTAATGTATAGTCACTTCTCGGTTTTTAAGGTCAAAGTTAAAGTGCTTCATTCAATCCAAGCCTAGTACCACATCACACCCTCCTAGCTCGATATTCTCATATCAATGGTATAGTCTCTACTTTGCATTATCCAATGGATATCTAGACTCACTCTTCATTCTAGCCCCATTAGCCACTTGTCATTGTTAATGGAGTGGTTAGCACGATGAGACAATTTCAATTCATCAACTAATCCCTTGTCTATAAAATTGTTGATGCTTCCATTATCAATCAAGATATTAATACTTCGCTTTCCCACACACCCCTTGATTTTAAAAGCATTAAGAGAAGCCTTACCACTCGGGGCATGTAGGGAGATATCACTCGTCCATTTCGACTACAATCTCCTTTTCCATTATCGGCTACTCCTCCTCCACAACATCACTTATTTAGTTGTTCCCCGGCTCTACCTCCTCTAGCATCATATGTAGTAGTTGTTTTAGCTTACATTGATGCCCCAAAAATACATGTCTCCACACTTAAAGCACTTTCTCGGTTCCTTTCTAATTTTGGTTCGGGTGTTTGGTCTATGTTGGTAGTCTTTTTATGGTTGAGGTGGGTTGTTTCTATTGGTAGGTAGATTAATATATGCGGGTTTGGCTATAATAGTGACGGTGTTAGGGAGTTTTTGGTTCAAGTTGGTATGCCGTATGTTTAGGTTATGGATGGACTTCCTTAGAGCTTTATTGAGCTTGGCTTGCTCAAAGGCTTCTCGTAGATCCGTTGGTTTAAACCTCTTCACAACCAAACTTAAATCCTCTCTTAATCCTCCTATAAACACCTTTACTAAATAGCTTTCCATAAAGCTTGGATTCATCCTTTTCACCAAGGATCTCGGATTCTCAAATCGTTCATGATACTCCTCTATAGTTCCTAATACTCCTTTACAGTTCCAGTTTGTTTTAATATATAGAACTCCTCCATTACGGCTTGTCTCTTCCTGTTTATCAAACCTCCTATACAAATCCTCCACTAACTCTTCCCAGTCTAACCTCTCTTTACCCTCCTTCCATTCCCGATACCAAATGTCAAATTTAATATCTAGGAACATGGCAGCGAGTTTTAACCTTAGCTTCATCTTTGATTTGATATACCCGAAATACCTTGAGGCATTTCCTAGCCCACAATCGTGGGTTTGTCCCATCAAAATATTGAAAGTCCATTTTAGTTCCATAGTTGGTTGGGTGTTTGTAAAAAGGTAGTGGATTTTGGTTGGTAGTGGTGTTTTGGTCAATGAAACGAGGGGCAATGGAATTTTTGGTGTTTGAAGATTGAACATCCAAGATTGTGGGTGTGGGTAGGATTCCTTTTCCAACATCTACATTATTATCTGAGGAGCTGCTAGCCCCTTGGTACTTCCAGTTGCAATGAGTTGTAGAGCTCTCACAACTCCACCAACCCTTACAAGATCTGCTGATTCTGGGACAACATTTACGTGTTTTGCTCGAGGTGCTGATGAGTGTCCATTTGTATTTTTGATACCTCAGCTTTCAATAACTGAAATTGACTTTCTAAGTTTTTCATCTGTTCATCCAGGACCTCGAGTCAAGTGCCTTCAACCATGGTCCCTTGGGTTGCGAAAGCATTAATACCACTTGACAGAGACCGGATTGAATGGGGAATTTCAGAAGGATTTAAAGAAGAGAAATGAGGAAGAAATTAAGAACAGAAGCGAGATAGAGAGAATAATATTTTGTTGATTCATGAGATAAAGCAATAAAGTGGTTTGCATGACTTATTCTCTTCTTGTCGTTTGGATCCATGACACATTGGCTATGGTTCCTGTGCTTCTGCTATGACTAAACGAATCAAATTCAAGATTACAAGGAATTAAAATTTGATAAACAGAAAAGAGGCACATCTACAAATTGGATCCATTTATATTGCACTAGGAACAAATTCCACTCAACCCAGTTCAACTACAGACTCTTGAGATTGGCAAATGAATCGAATATGGGGAAAATTTTGAAAACAAAATCCAGAAAGAATAATTACAGTATGTTAAAATAGCTCTATTTAAAAATTAAAAATAAAATAAAAATAAAAATGACACAACAGAACACTCTTTACAAAGTTCACATGGAAGCCAGAAGCTCTCTCATTTCTGACACTGAAGGGATGCTCTCGTTGGGATAGATCTTTGCAACGAGTTGTGCAAAACTTTCATACTTGTCCAAGAACTCCTTCTGTCAAATTAAGATAAAGTAGTTTTATTAACCATCTGGCTTTATTAGCAATCTATTGAATGAGACACAAAACACAAAATGTTTGCAATAACAAAAAAACGTTTCTCGTAGCCAGCATCAACTAGTTCCACAATGAGGAATGGTTTTTTTAAGGCAAGGAAAAGAAAGGAAATAGTAGGATCAATAGCATTCCCCTGTTTGGATGTGCAAGGTAAAGAGAGCAGATGAGAAGGGAACGCAAGAGCTAATAAATATAAGATCAATTACTGAATTACAAAAATGTTCTTAATGAGAGGACTGTAATTCCTATTTAGTTTCAAACCAAGGGTACTTGTTTCATTTAAGAATCTTAACAACCCTCAACACCCAAAGTGTGAGATCAATAGATGACAATTTCTATTATTCGGGGGGCTTTCTATCCCCCGAAGTGCTTACTCTCCCTCTATCAAAAGTGAAAATCAAATGAGGATTTGGGGTTCTAAACCCACCTTTGCCTTCCGTTATCCCCAAAACTCTCAAGAACAAACTACTTAAGTTTGAGTTTTCATTTTTAGTTTACTACACGCTTTGCCCACTACTCAAATTCTTTGTTGATCAAGAACTTTGCATCGTTCAAACACCCATTACTTGCTCCACCAAATAACATCCAAGAAACATTAAAGACCATATCCTGAAATAATAAGCAAGTGAATTACCTTGCACTTATCCCACAAAGAAGGTAACAGTTCTTCTGAAGTTAAGTTCTTCTGTAATCTCTTATACATCGCACTAATAGACTTGTCAACCTGTGGCAGAAAAACCACATTATTACAACAGTAAATTCAAGACCATACTCCAGAGACTATCAGACTATTGTGGATGCATTAACAACTTACCCCAGATAAACTAGATTTTAACATCTTCCGGAGATCCATTTTCGACAATCCGAGCTGGAATGGGATCTAAAAGGAACAAAATAAAAGGAAACGACATTCAGCATTTTAACAATTTGAACTGACACTTCATAGATCTTAGACTATTGACACTGATGTGATAATATGGCTTCTATAAGTTATTTGCTGGCACCACGTAGACATCAATTGTATCCATTTAACTGGAAAATTTCTTGCCAAATCAGTAAGATAGTAAGAGCGTAGCGTGCAACAGTGCAATTCTTGTGCTAACCAGCAGAGACTTTTCCAGAATCGAACACCAATATTTGAGCATGGCCACAGGGCACATAGGTTGCACAGCAAGCTAGGCAAAAGGAATGGTACATCACAGGGAGAAAAGATGTAAAAAAGTCATGGTTTTGTTCCATTTGTCATTGTTTTGATGGCTTAATTAGTATCTTCCATCTAATGCAAATCATATTGGGATAAAAAAAAAAGAGGTATCAAACAATATCATATCTTCAATGGAAGTTCATAACAAACTCTGGGAAGCCAATATGATGGGGTGTACTTCTAATTATTGACTATGTATGACATTTGATCGCCACAAACTAACCTCCTCTGGCGTTATGGTGTACATCAAATCCTCAATCTTGCGAGCAAACTGGAAAAGTTTTTCAAATTGCTGCAGAAAGCAAATTTGATGAGTACAAGCAACATCAAAATGTTTAGGCAAAAGTCATTGAAATTTCAGCAAATATTAGAAACCAGAAAGACAACACTGCAAAAAGAGGACCTGCAATAGGATTGCTTACATAGAAGATAATCATGCTGATATGACGTGTACAAGCTTGTTCATAAGCTTCGCTTGCCTGGTGATAAAATTTGGCTAACGTTGGCACAACATTGGCTAGGTCATACAAGCTGCATGCAACTGTTTCTAATGAGCAGACTCGATGATGATGGAGAAAAATCATTTTGCCTGAATCAAGATTTTTCACAAAAAGAAGAGGAAGGGTTCCAAAATAAGAGAGAGAGAGACGTACCTATTTTGAAATGCTGCATAGTTTTCCAAAAGGAAGACATCCGCATATTTTGGATCTGTTTGTGCAATTTTCTCCAAAGTCACAAACATTATACTAACCTGTCAAATAAACTCCACATTGTAAATCTCAACTTGTACTAAAAAGGGGAGAAAATAAAAAACAGTAGCACACTGTCTGAAACCCTTTAATCAAAAGATAGCAAACACAAAGAAATGCTTAAGAAAGACTACTCACAAATTTTGTGTATGCCTGATCAACCAAATCCCTAGATTGTCCCTGGATATACTGCTCCATACGAGTTGCAAGAGTTGCAAATCTATGAAAGACAAGGTTGCTAGTTTTATATGATGAAACTAAGTTGATCAAAGTTACATATCATATAGAATGGAACAAAAGAACTTATCATAGAACGTAATATAAAAAAGCTGAAAAATCATTACAAATTCAAGTATTATTAGTGTAAAATACAGCTCCTGCTGTTAATCACAAACCTAAGCAGCCAAGCATATCCAAACTTGAACTCCGTAAAATATGCAAGTCAATTATAGTCACAGGCAGGAGTTATAATTAGTGAACATAATCCCAATGAGCATAATAAGGTGTTACACTTAAAAGAGTTCACATCAAAAAATCAAGTGGAACAACTATCATTAAAGTTGGCTACTTTGATAATTTTGCAGAAAATGTTAGCTAGATGGTCCATATCTATCAGGGTACAAGTTTATTATGACATTATATTCTTGTATCTTAATTTGACAGGCTGAAAAGATGTGAGTTCACCCAAAACAGCATTAATCAAGTCCATCAGAACTTAATTACCTTGGGATGTAGGATAAAACTCCCGTCTGCCGCACATTACGCTCATTTCTTTCAATTTGGTGGCAAGCTTCATCAACAAACTGCAATATAGATCTCAAGTTAAACAAGCTAGTTCAAGAATCTTGGAATGTGTATGGATATTTAAGTTGGATGTTAAGCACGTACACGGCTGAATTGCATAGAAATTCTTGACTCTAGGTCACCAAGCAAGAGACGCACAAATCCTGCAGCATCAGCTTTCTGACCAGAGAGATAACGCTCTGTAATCCCATGCATTGATATGCAGCGCAGAGGATCTATCTTGTATGCCCAATCAACCACAGCATAAAAATCTTCCTAAAAATCCATGACCCCCCACAAGTCAGAACTCAAAGATTATAGCAGTATTGAAAATGTTATGAATCACTCAGCAACACCTACTGCTAATAAGCAATATAGTAACCATAAAAAGAGAGGGGAGGATGCTGAGGAGCACCAACAAACAACAAGAAAAGTTTAAACATGGCATACATACATTCATTCAAAAAATAAAAAATACAAGTGCATATTCAAGGGTATAGCTCTAAACATAAGTATGCATGCCAGAATGCATACACACACACACAAGGAACAATGCAATGTATAGCTCACTTGGATTCCATCAAGCAAGTCCTGAAGAGATTCGTTTAGTGCTGCCAGATCTGCAGAATTTTTACCTACAAAAAAAAAAAAAATGATCACTGTTTAACTTCTTGAAGTGACAGAGCTTTCATAGCAACCTTCTATACAAATTTGAAGCAGGATGAAAGCAGATCTAAGAGGTATTACCAGCTTTGCCATCATTCTCATCAATGTCCATAATACCCAAATCATCTTCGTCGTCATCATTGGCATCATTGTAATTTCCACCTTTATTACCATTAGCCGCACCTCCTGGGGGAACAAGTGCAGGAACCTCGAAGCACATGAAGTGTGCAAAAAAAGAACTCTGCAGTTTGAATTGCAAAGCAATAAATCATTCATAGAATAGGCAATAACATTAATAATTTCCATTATATGCATGCAGAAATTGTAACCTCATCTACAAGGAGTGGGATAAATATTGTCAGCATTTTGGCATAAGCCTCAGAAACTGAAGATGTATCTGCATTATGTGCATTTTGACTTGAGCCTGTAGAAGCTTCCAGCCAAACAGTTGGATTTCTTGATGCTTTTGTACTAGCACGAAGCTCATTAGCAAATTCACGAGCCTGCAAATGAATGAGATAACTCTTAAAACTGTATGTTCAAAATACCATGAGAGCAAAAAAAAAAAAAAAAAAAAGGAGGAGAATAAACTATGGGAAAATAGCACTACTACAACCAAATAAATTCATAAACAGTTAGTAAAAACTAAATGTTTAGTCAATAAAAAAGATGGTGCAGCCTGACCTCCCGGCGAAGAAGCAAGTTAAGGGAGCTGCAATATGCTTTCCTCAAAGGACCCAAGCAATTCTTATCAAGACCCTGACAACAGAAACAGGCAATTGTTGGTTAAAGGCCAACTTTGAGAGACAGAGAACACACATAAGCTTATGAGATTTATGGGAAAGGTTTGTAATGAACCTTCAAATGCTGTAAAAGGCGAGCATATGTCCTGCATTTGTACCTTAAGTCAGCGTGATCAGGCCTCTTCAACTGTCCGCGCTGTTTCATGCAAAGCACCAAAGCAAATATTAGAATTCCAAGACCCAATAATAATCCTTGTAATCTGTAGGAAAAAAACATAAAGCTGAAAAATACTTGAGAAAAATAACTCTTGTCGCTTATCATGAAATCCACCAAACTTGCAAAATAGTTTCTCAAGAATTCAGAAGCTCTCCTGACAAACATAGCTTTTAATTTTTCGAGTTCTGTCCGCTTTTCTTTAACCTGTAATAAGATCATCCGCTATTTTAGAAAGAGACAATACAAAAAATATACTTGCATTGACAATAACTCTGTTATCTAGCTCTATCCTAAAGTCTGAATTCAGAAGATTATCAAAAAATGCTATCCAACTGATTAACGTCCTTCAATTCGTGTTCTTGGGATCATATTTGAAATCATAAAGAATGGCAAATCATATCATTTAACAATTGGAGAGACAATAGCTGTGTGCGTATTGTGTAATTTAGGATAACTTTTACAAATAGATACCTAATCAGCAAAAAAAGCTCATGCATCAAGATGCATAACCAATTATTCTCTTGCATTATCTTTTCAGCAACCTAGTTTATTATTTTGTTAGTAGAAAAAAATTGGGGAGAAGAATGTGGCAAGGAACATACAGCACGCATGTTTGCATAGATTGGATCCAAACTAGGCACTTGAAGACCACGTAAAGCACCAGTCAACCACTCACATGCTTCAATGTTTTGAAGCATGCGTGCCTCATCAAACGAACCTCCGGTTAGACAAGCTGCATACTGCAACCAACAGAACATGATTAGAGGATAGCAAAATTTGAACACATTGTCATTAAAAGTGATATGAAAGTGATGAATAACATACTTCAGAAGGGACACGCAGTCGTTCAAGAAGCTTATCGAGTTCTTGAATGAGTGATACGTTATTTACAGACTGCATCTCCAACTTGTTGTTGCGGGTTTCTATCTGGATATCATTAAAATGAATAATCATACATCAGCAGCAAAAGATATCAGGCATGTGTTTGAACATAGCAAAGATCCAAAACATACGCTTTACTAGGTAATTTGAGACATTCTTTTGAAGCAGACATATGAAACTAAGGAAACCATTAACATGCAAGTTGAACAATTTCAACTTATAGCCTACACATATTCCTAGAAGACTGACGTGGCATGTACAACAAAATGTGGGAGACTAGGAGAAATACCACAGACACCCTACTTAGGCAGAATTTCATGTACGCATGCACTTACCGATTCAATGTCTTCTCTCATATGTCTAAGTTTTACGTTGAAGATGCCTAACCATTCATCCATGTCATCAACACAATTTGTTGCAGCCTCAAGCCCTTGCAGCACCTGAACGAACAAAACGATCAGTTTACATGAGCAAGAGCTGTCACTATTACACAGCTGCACAGGCTGTGGCAAAGCACATCACAGACTAATCAAGCTTAATCTTCAAAAACTCAATCAGGATAAAAGAAACTCAAAGTATATACAGATCAAGAGGGAAAGGAAAAAGGCCTCAGCCAGAGAGAAACAAGAATAAACTCCTTCACAAAATACAGTCTTCGTGGACATACCTCTTCTATTAAAGGTTCACTTTCTAAAATGGCATGCACATTTGCAGCTTCCAGAGCAAGAAGCTCGCGCTTCAACCTTTCTGAAAACGCCTCTGCTTCACCAATACCCATTACATAACTGCAAATCATTATATAATTGAAAACATCAGGTGGATAAAAAAAGATAAAAGCAAAAGGTGACACAAAAGAGTTACTATTGTTTGCCATTGTTTTCATAAAGGATGTCTTTGATTCCAGGAAGAAAAAAAATCATATTTAGCATGAGGGGAAAAAGGCATGGACAGATTTTCACAGAACCTACTAACAATAACCTTGACTGAGCATGCTATTTTGGCTGTGTTATGGGATCTAAAAGGATAGGCATGAAAAAAATTAGAGATGGCACTTGATATCAACACGAACAGAAGTCAAATGGAAGCAGTTCAAAACCAATGTGGGCCATTTTACTGCACTGTAACGAGCAATATCTGATGTAAACAAGTTTTGAATTTTTTAACTTAAAATCTTGGAAAATTTTCAAACAAATGAAACCCTTTGGATATATTCCCTCCTCGTCTGCTGAAACCTTGGAGGGTGAAAGTGCAGACTCTAAATATGGGTGAGTTAAAGGATGTTTTCTATACAAGTCAGAAATTGAGGAACCTCAATGAAAATATTCAAACAATTAGACTGAAAACATTCTGTTCATGTTCCTTTTCCTCCTTTCACTAAAGCCTCTCTCAGTATAAAGCTATTTTACCAAAAATATGTGTCAGCTCTCTACCTGACTGAAAAGCTTTGGAATAAAGAAAGGAAAGACTTACGTGCCAAGTAGAGCCTCCATGTCCTCTTCCTCAGCTTGGGAGACAAGTTCTCTTTCAACAGTCACTTTCAAGTCACTTTCTGTAACTGTTGCTGCAACATGCCCTCCATCTTGCTGATTAATTTGCTTAGGAACCGTGGGTGTATTTTCCTTTTTTCAAGTATTAAATCAAAAGTAAGTTGGAGGACTATGTCATGCATCATGATCTAAGATAACCAATCACTTCATTAACTGAATTTAGACTGCACACTGTTTGAGACCAACATGCACTTCAATTCAATCTTAAATAACATCCAAAAAAATATAGCTCTGCCAATTTGATTATGGATTATTGCATTCAAAACACTGTCTAGAAAGTTCCTTCAACAGCAAAATGAGTCATTATTGGTTCAACAGGCAAGAAAATTGAAAAGTTCCCTTCAAGTAGGTTAATCAAAAACTATGATAGAAAACTGTAATACTTGAAGATGGAAAAGTAGACAATCATCATTCTTAAAACAAATAGATAGAGAAGCAGAAAAATCATCATTCACACCTTAGCCCAAAGTGCCATCTCCACGACATCTATGCCAACAACTTTTGGAAGACGTTCAAGTACATCTTTGCAGATGTTTAAGATGCAAAATAAAAGGCGGTTCCTTTTTTTTTTAAAAAAAAGAGGAAAATGAAAGCACTAGCTAGTTAGTAAAATAAATTTAAAAAAAATTAAACAGACAATATCTTGAATTGTTTATTGATTCTTCATTAATGAAGTGTTGTTTCCAACACTGCTCACCTATCATCAATGTTGCGCATGGTCCATTGTGGTGGAGTAACACTCTGGCTTCTGAGGTTATCAAATCCCTGTAAGAACTTCAGTCAGAAGTGTAATAAAATTAAAAATACAAAGTTTCTCATTTTCTCCCAAGGTCCTTCCTCAATCCAGCTAATCAGTAAACAACAACCCCAATGTAATAAATGCTGAAGCATTACCAGGGTAAACGTGCATCCACTGGGATCGTTAGCTATAACCTCAACTTTTGAAAGATGCTTGAGTTTGTATAACTTTGCCGGCTGCGTAATCAAGTCAAGACAGAAGCTTAAGACATGTATAACCTTTTGAATTAAATCAGTAAGATATCATATAGTACAAAATTTAAAACAGTTTCCCTTTATACACACACACAAACTGGATTTATTTTCCTTCCCATCCATTTACTGCACTTCTTTTTTTCAAAAACTGCCATATTTATCACCAAAGCTTCGTTCGAAGTGAATAAGGCATGTAAAAATTTAGTAATAACCAGACCAAGAACAGACTTATCTCCTTGTTCATCACAGAAGTGAACATTACTACCTCAAGGACTCCTCCAGTCGAATATTTTAATACTCGAAGAAAGGCTTTCGTCCTCTGACCCTTAGATTTTGCTGCAAGAACAAAATGTTTTCAATTCCAGAACAAAATTCAAACGTTGAAAAGAAATTAATGAATCATATAAAATGAGAGCAATAGTGAATTGGCTTTGGCGTACTGGAGAGAGCGAGAACCCTAGGTTTGGCCATGTGACGGCCTAATTTGCCAGATTTGCCCCAGATCCCATGACTCTTGGCGACACGGATCGACAATACAATCTTCTGTTTTGTGCCTTCAATTGCTGCCTCGCAGGCTCTCTTTAGTTCCTCATCGTCGGCACTCGATTTAGCCATTTCTCCTCCTCTTTGATTTTTCTTTCTTTTTCTTGCTTAGCTCGCCACCCAGAAAATTTCTGCTAGAGAGATCAGCATGCGCGTCAATTTTTGGATGTTGTTTTCTTTCTTTCTTTCCTCTTCTTAATGATTTGTTTGTCTACACAGCACTGTTTTTTTTTGCCTGTTTTGGGTCCCATAACCAAGTCCTTGTGGGTTGGTTGGGTTTAGGTCCGTTTTTATGTTTTGCCATTTTGGACAGCCTGGATTTTTATGGCCCTTAATGGGCCCAAACTAACAATGTTCACATCAAGTCATATATCCTTATGCTGATGGAAATTTCTCAGATCACACCCACGGTCGGAAGAGAGAAGTTTCTGATGGATGTGTCGGTCCAAAAGTGGATGGTTTACGTCTAAAGCTTAGCAAAAGATTTAAGCTTGATACATAAAAGATCGCTAAGATGCTTCAGTCTTCAACTATTAACATTTATTTTCCTTAATGGAAATTTACTTTCTAAGCATTGTTTAGCAAATATGGAAATTATCAATTACAAAAATATCTTTGCATTTTCCTCGCATAAGCTTATACAAGACATGGGTTCAGCGGCTTCTATGTCAATTGGTCTAGGAAGAAGTTTCAACTTTAATTTCAAGCACTTGGCGAATAGTCTATCATCTACCATATATATATATATATATATGATTATTCACCCAATGCTTATTTATAGAATTGGATCTTCTCTACTAAGAAAAAATTGTATTTAAAAAAAAAAAAAAGGGCGTTTACATTGGTTTTGTTAGAATAGTATTCTAACGACTCTTGCCTCATCCTGGAATTGTACGAGATCGATTTGGAAATCTTAGCTGAAGCTTCACATGGTAAGTTCCATCCGTATCAGTGGGCTGTGGATCAGTCTGTGCAAAACCAGCAAGACCGCGAGCAAATGCGAATGATCCAGTTCCACCAACCACAGTGAGTTCTTCTTTACCTTTATGTGCCACATGCTTGGCCTGCATGCTGAGGCTGCCCGAGTAATCAGGAGTATCAAAAGTGAGATAGATAACATTGAAACCTGAATGCGCAAAATGTTGTATAGGAATTATGAAGCCTTGAGCTTTTCCTATGACCAGTGAAGTGTTTTCAGGCCCTTCCGTGAGCTTACGATGAAAGACGAATGCTCCAACATCGGATCTTACTGCTGGCTGAATGTTAGAGCTTGAAATTTGAGGTTGCTGTATGTACAACGACAGGGCCAGCCAAGGCCTAGAGGAGTTCTTTGATCGACTTTTATGAGGGATTGGTGAGAGCAAAGTCAGGAGAATGACTGTCAGTATTGCTAAACAAACTGCAGTGCAGAATATGATTCTACACCGCATCATGTACCAATCTGGCTCTTCGAAATGTGTTGGCCTTGCCTTGAATGTGATTCCCTAAGAGGACCTGTTTAATGCATTCCTGATTTGGAAAATGTGGCTTCTTATCACAAAATGCTTCGGCCACCTAATCCACAACTTCAAGGCCATTCCTAACCCAATAAGCGATGCTGCATCCAGTTAAGAATTGTAAGCATACCTACTCCATTACATTACTGAGCTAACTAATACGTGCATCAATCTTTAAATATAAAGAACAAATACTATCCATCCTAACTATATATAGGCAGTCTGTTATGGGGTAGAAACTGTAAACAAAAATTGACAATGCAAAACTGAAAATTTCTTATCATCGGTTGTAAGTTCGCAATATTACTTGATATATAACATTAATTGAGGACAACAACATAAAGAAATCAAACGAAGGACATAGAAAACAAGGATGCAGCCATACAACTTGAATGCAAATAAAGATCGTGCTCCAGAGCTATTTCATATAGATCGGTTAAATGTAAGTCATAACTGTCTAAACCAAGGACAAAATAAAGCCATACTAGAATTTCAGCAGCTCCCCAAAGAGTCATAAATTAAGTTGAAAGGGTCCGTTACGTTAATTCACGTTTACTTAGAATAAACAATAGATTAAAACCCTAGCTCTATTCAGCCAGTATAAGACATGGAAAAAGTTAGTGCACCAAAAGTTTAAAAAACATTAATTATCTTTCAATCACTGCATCCTCATGCAACACAGAAAAATATGACAAGCACTGAAAGTAAAAAGTAGGCAATGCATTATGAGCACTCCTATGTTAATCCGAGTCCCTATGTTCATTAAAAACTTGAGGAATCCTGGAAACATATGCAAGAAAAAAAGCTTCACACAAATTGAATTTTAGTAGCACAAATAGCAAATCATGGAGTAAAATGAGAAACCATATATAAAAGACACTTGGTGATCGCTGCTGAAAAGATGATCATTCATAGAACATCTGCACAAAGTTGAATATTGATGAACAAACATGAAAAAAATATTGAGAAAAATCTGTGCCGACATGGAAAACAAGGATGCATCAAGGAGGAAGAGCAGAAAAGAACTGAGGAATTGGCCCAAGCAGTTGTAGCAAGTTGATTCCTGTTTTATCTCAGTCAAAACATATGTTGCAACACGATGCCTGGAAAAGCATACAAGAGCGAAACTCAGACTCATCTTCTACTAAAAGAACATCAAAAGGATAAAATAGAAAACACTACCCTATCAGCAATCAATATCAGTCCATGTCTTTCGTAAGCACAACCTGGAAAACACGCAATTGGAGCTCTGACTAAATCGGAAAGAACCACCTGTTGCTATTTGTTCATCCCCCCAGTTCAGAGCACAACACAGTCAGTTTCCGAGTCCTCCAATTTAAAGCAGAAGCCAGTCTCCTTCAGTTTAATGCAAAAATAAGTATAGCACACAATCATGATGGCAAACAGTAAAGAAAGAATTAAACTCTCCCCCATTGATCTTAGTCCATATGTTCCATTAAAGAACTAAAAGAGCCCTGGAAATCACATAGACAAAACTAGGTCTTAAATGGTAAGAGTACGGATTGAAGATTGCAATCCAAAAAAAATAAAAAAATAAAGGGATGCATGTCATTACCTGGAAAATTCTGTGGGAAGTGAAATTAAAATGGGCAAATATAAGAACCATCAAAAGATTCTTTTCAGGATAAGTGAAATGAACATATGAAGAGAACAGAGTAAAAGGGAAAAATCTCATTAACTGTGTTTCAGTCTCATGTCAGTTTTATCACCCACAAAAACAGCGGTTTTGGCCTACCATCTAAAATGCGTATTAGCTCAAGTACTGACGCATTCACATGGTTACCTCAAAACAGTTAAGTTTTCACAAAGATCCACCAAATTGGAGCATATCTACTCATATGTAAAGAAATACGGGGATTCCAGCAAGTTGGACGTAAGCAAAACCAAACCATAATATTGTTTCCTAACATAAGACACCCATACAACTCAAAACAATCCTACAAACGAGGATAATAGAACAACAGCATATTGCGGACTTGAAGTTGGCTTAACAAATACTTCGCTCATTCTCAAAGCAGAATTAGGAGGCATAGTAACAGAACAATTCCTTAAGCAATCCCGTCATATCATGAAAATGAAGGGCAATAGATAGAGGCAGAGAAGGAGGCTGTTCTCAGGACAAATGCCAAACCAAAAACCAAATGCAAAGAAGAAGCTCTTAAAAGGAATTCCCGGTGCATTCTTCCCAGACCAGACCAACTCAGATAGAGGGGCTAAGCCACTGAATTGGGTGGGGTGGGTGGGTAGGGGAGGGGTGGAATGATGGTGTGTTGAGTCCACATTTTCTCAAAACACTGGAAATTATCAAAGCTCAATTTTCCAGAACAGTTTCCCAAGCGGTAGAGGAATATTATCTGTTGAGAAAGCAGCAAACCCTTCCCTTTCTTGATTGCTTCAATGCCTAAGAAGTAATGTAAGTCAACCAAATCTCACCCATTTAGTATTCCTCTAGCAGCAAACATCAGCGAATCTACATCAGAAATGTGCAAACCGAGGACAAAGTAAGAAATAAACCAGTCAGACAAGAATTTCTCACATAACCACCCCCCAAGCTTAGTCATAAATTTAAGTTGCATTCTACCGATTCCAATAACAAACCGACCTATGTGAGAATGGTACAGGCCAGTATGTTTGGTGCAATGAAATACTACAAACTGTATAAAGTAAACCATCCGGCCTCCTTAATTAGCCTCATATTGTGAGTTTCTTACATCATTGAAAGGGTCCTATGTCAGTCCACATTTTCTTAAAATATGCAATCAAAACTTAGAAGAAGCATATAAAAGAATGTTGAAAACATGAAATCCAGAATCATCAAGAACAAGTGCTCTCAATACATTGTCAATAAGGAACAGTATGAATAGAAATCCTTCCCGTGCAACTATAGGACGTTCTCAAACTAGGTTTGTAAGATAACAGAGTAGAGAATTCGTGTCAAGGTCCTCTGGAATCCAGAGTCTAATTTAGCTCATACAATAGAATCAAATCATACAATACGAGCTTGGACTAAAAACTTCGATTTGATGAAAAAACCATACGATATATAACACGGAAATATATATATATAAAGTACATAAACAGTAAAATATACTCCCTGTTTAATATTCACCATATTTTCCTTCAGAATGTTTAAAGCATCATCATGATCAGGACATGGAACAGAGCACATTGTTTTCTACAAAAATGGGGAGAACAGCACAGCAGCGTATTGTCCACTTAAAAACGAGTTAACAAAAAGGAAATAGAAGAATGGAACACTGGAAGCTCCCTGAAAAGTTCATGCAGTCAAAGCTTGATATAAGAGAAGAGGAATGGCATATTCTTTACTGGGTATAAATCAACTCCTTGACTGTACTCATTACATCAATTCCATGTTAGTCCACGTTCTCTTGAATAAAGTCCCCCATTAACCTCAAAGCATTAATTCCTTGCTTGTTAATCTTAAAAACATTCAATGGAAGCCCACACTCAATACTGCAAAGCAGAATTATAAGGAATTCATTAGAAAAATGTAAGCATCAGATCTTGATATAATAACGAAGAGTAAGGATGGAAAACCTTTACAAACTTGTCAATAGTGTAATAAGATTTTCTGTCGTATCATTCTCTATTGCCTGATTCATGTCAAGACCTTGCCATCGTCAAGTTTTCAGTATATTTTATGCCCGCTTAGTAAATTCCTTCGGATCCTGACAGTAGGAAAAACAAAAGAAAAATCTTCACCAAACCCCGCTTTTTTCGATCATTAAGATGAAATCAAAGATTTAATTGTTTTCTAATCAATGGACAAAGCCCTAATTTGCCATATCGGGAAACCCTAAATTCATAGATCACAGAAAAGGAAGAATCGGACCCAAAAAAGAAAAAAGAAGAAGACAGTTACCAAAACACCAACTAGATCGTGTAATACAACGGGATTTAAGCGCTTTTTCCATTATCGTGATTTAAAAGCGCTTCGCGACTTCATTCATATTCCATGATATATATATATATATATATATTATGGCCTGGTATCGTTTAATACAGGAAAGTGAATTTTCAACTTTTAAAGCGAAAAAAAAAAAACAACTAAAAAGTATAATTTCATCACCTATACTAATAATAAAAATAATAAATGTGATTGTAATAATGACAATAATGACTATGTGAACGAGGAAGATGAAGAGATTGTGATCATAATAATGTTTTTTTTAAAAAAAATATTTGATGACATCATGATAATTTTTTTAAAAATTATGATACTTTTTTTATACCATTAATGTCATGTAACACTATTCTTTTAAAAAATAAATACTACCACTTGATAAGAAAAGAAAAGTGGTTGACGGTGATATAAAAAAAATGACAATAATGAAGAAGGAAGAATAATAGCAAAATAATAATAATAATATTTTTATTGTTGTCTTGCATTGGTTTTAGAAGCAATGATATAATAAAAATGATGATAATGATATAAAAAGCGTTGTAACGGAATAATAAATATAATAATTTTCAAAAAAGAAAATTTATCATTACCATCAATAGTAATTATAGTATAATAATAATGATATTGTTTTCATCATTACTGTTAACAACAGCAGCATTGACTGTAATTATAGAAATAGTTGATAAATAATACTATTATTTTGAAGAATTTTTTTATTTCCATTTCTATGAAATTGAAATTATGTTTATTTTTTAATTTTTATTGTTTATTTCTATTATGTTGAAAGAAATGAGGTAACAAGAAGACGAAGAAAAAAAGTTTTCCATAATTACATCAATCATCTACTCATTCCTTTTAACAGCAGCCAAGCGCTTTGTTAAGGATATGACATGATGAATTTAGCTCCATAACTTCCTGATTCTTTATTTTATTTTATTTTTAAAGCAACAAATCTAGCTAATTTTCTCTCTCAATTCGCTGATCGTATTATTTTTCTCATGTCACGGATCTTGTTGATGCTTCGTTCCTTGTGTGATCCCCATCCACAATAAGTTCATCGGATCCACTTATAAAAGTTTTCATAATATTACATTTTAATTTTTTTAATATTATTTTTTAATTTATAAATATTTTTTATTTAATTTTAATTTTTTTATTTTATTTAGATAACTTTAATCTTTTTTTCTAATTTTTTAAATGTGATCCTTTTTCTTTGATTTTTTAATAAAAAAATTTAAGAAAAGTGTTCGTAACATTACATTTAGTCTCTCTTTTTTAAATATTATTTTTTTAATCTATAAATATTTTTTATTTGGTTTTGGTTTCATTTTTTTGTTTTATATTGGTCACTTTCTATGATTTTTTTTTATTTTGATCATTTTTTCTTTGATTTTTTAATCAAAAAATTTAAGGCAAAAAAAGTTTTAAAAAAATTACAAAATAAGTTTTTAGCTAAGAATCCTTTGGTTTTGACATTTTTATACTATTAAAAAAAATTTAATTTGTGGATAGAGATAAATAAATAAAGTTTTTTAATCAAAATTTATGAAAAATACAAAGAATAGTTAGTCAAATATAAAATTTTGATTAAAAAATTATAAAATTAAATTAATTTTTACTCATTTATTATTTAATGTATTTTGATATATGTACAATATAAAACGAAACTTTAAAATAAAATAATTTTATATATTTTGTTTGATCGGTAACATAACCCAAGTAAAAAATCTTGTTATTGTCTATAAAAAAAAACATAGTAAATCACAAGACAAACAACTCTTACAAGAAAACACAGTAAATTATAAATTAGTTTTCCTAGTTTTGAAAAACAAATTAATTGTTCCCTCTGGTTTGAATTTTTTTAATCTTTGTATTTTAAAAGTTTTTGGTAACTTAAATTATCTTTGTAATTTTTTATTTTAAGAAACAATAAAAGAATTAAGTAAAAAATATTAAATAATTGATTAAAAAATATGACATTTTAAATCTAGTAATATTAAATAAATATGATAAACACTGACTAAATAATTATTTTTTAAACTAAAAGAAGACTAATTAATTTTTTTTCTTGAAATGATAGGGATTAGTTTGTAATTTACTCCATGAAAAGCAGGAAAAGCCTAATTCATGGTTGGAGCAAAAGGACCAGAAGAAAAAAGAACGCTTTCAAATTCCTTCAGTTTCTCCATTTCTCTTTGCACTAAATCATGTAAAACACCTTCAAATCGTTGATTCTGTGCTGGGTTTTCTTTAAAATTTGCAAAGACTCAAGCTTTTTGTGTGTTTTGTACGTTTGGTTCTCTTAAATATGGCCTCTGGGTCAAATTCCCAAGTTGTAGATTTAGAAGAAGTTGTTGAAGAGAGTGTCACCGATGAAATAACAGCTTTCATGTCTCAGCATTTTGCTGAAGTTGAAAGACTTTTGGTGTCCATGAAAGAAAAAATGGAAGAAAAAATGGTGCTTGAGAATAAGTCACTGAAGAAAGAGAAGGAATTGATGGAAGGAAAGGCTCGGAATGAGAGATCGGAGAGATTGATAGCTGAGACTGAGCTGAAGGAGTGTAAAAGAGAGTGTTTGCAGTTGAAGAAAGAGCTAGAAGGGTTTAATGAGTTATTGAAGAGTGGCGGAGAGGATAAGAGGGTAATTAGGGAACTCAGAGAGGAAATTTGTGAGTTGAAGTGTGCAAAATTGAAGGCAGAGACTGAAGTTGATGCATACAAGAGTAAGTTTGAGGAACTGGGGATGTGGGTTTTCCTTTTAGAGAAGGATCTGAAGCTGTTGAATTCTGAAGAGCCTGTGAGTAATGTTGGGGTTTCTAAGGGGGTTGTGGAAGAAAAGGTTTTGGATGAGAATGTTGTTACTGTGAAAACTGAGGTGCTTTGCAGTAATTCAAATGATAAAATTGTTGTTAAGGCAAATGGTGGTCCTAGGTCTCACTCACCGGAGAGCAGAAAAGGTGATGTGGGGGTTCTAGGTTCGGTTTCTGGTGAGGGCTTGCGAGAGACGGCTGTGAAGGAAAATGGAAACGGCAGTGAAAGGGTTGTTGATGTGAAAGTTGAGACGGTTGCTGCTGGTAATCATGAGAACATGGTTTTAGGGGCAAATGGAGGTTCTAGGAGCAACTTGCCGGAGAATGGAGTTGGACACGTTGTTGGTACAGGTATTGCTACGATCCTTGTGTTTTTATTGTCATCTGGATTTGTCGATTTGATTACATTTGTTTGCTTATGTTTTGTTTAGAGATGAGTACGTATTAGTTAAGCTGACTATGTTTGCTTTTTAATTTTTCACTCAGATTTTGTTTGGAGAACTGTTGGTCCGTAAAAGTTAGTGTAATGTTTCTGTCATATGTGATTTCTGAACTCTATTGAATTTAAATTTCTCTGTGCCTCTCTGCTAAAATTCTTAGTCAAAAGAAAGTGTGCTGCAAAATCCTTTGTAGTCCAAGAAGATTCTTGTTCAGCTCTGACTCCCACGAGCAAAAGAACTTTAAAAGAACTATGAACCTTAAATGGACAGAGAATAAGTGACATGGATTAAACCATCCTCGATCTCATCTAGAAAAATACCTTTCAAATTCAAACCACTCAGAATATTAACATTAAGAAACTAATCAAACAACCTGTATATTTACCCAAAATACCAATAATTCATGACAACTTCATACGAGCTTAATTGCACTAGCAATAACTCTAGAAACAGACCGCCAAACTGATAGGTGGAATATTACTTACTGGGAATCTGGCGTACGTTCAATTATGGCATGGCCTAGTGTTGCATGGCGTATTGAGGGTATTATCTGCCACTTGAACTGGAGAGTATTCCTACAAGATGCTATCTCCTTCTAACAATTTACAATGTTATGTTTACGACAACCAGATATTGATATTGCACTTCTTTTTTCTTTGCCACTAGAAATTATAGAGATTAGTGATATTGATGATGACTCTTCTTCGAATGCAACTTTGAGTGGAAAAAAATCGGCTAAGCAAGAAGGCCAGCATGGAGCAGATTTAGGTCTGGAAGATGTCAGCAACAAGACCAAATTGCTCAAACGAAAACGAACCTCTGGTTCAAATTCTGAGGATGATATTGGTGGTAGCAATGAGCCCTGGGAAACAAAATATCAAGTGTTGATTCAAGGCCCTCAAAGAGTTCCTGTCAATCATTGTGCAGCAGCAACCATGTTTTCTGACTGACAGAAGAAATGTTTTTAATCCACCAAGGCAAGCTCCAACAATTTTGAGACTTTAATACGCAAAAACTTTGCATGATAACATATTGTGTGTAATTGTGTACAAATATGTTTTATTTATGTATATAATTTAATATTTTTTATATGTTCAAAGGATGTGATGATTATTTATAGAGTTTTAGGACTTAATATATATTTTTGGTATTATAGATTGTATTTTTATAGATAAGAACTAGTCCTATAGTCTTAGCCTAAGCTATTAAGAATTAAAGAATTAAAATAGTAATAATAATAATAGATCAGAAAAATAACGACGACGATGATGATAATAGTAATAGTAATAATAATTAATAAAATAATAGTAAATTTTAATAGCTTTTTAAATGGAATGTTAGTAGCTATGAAAGAAGAGCAAAAATTTTAAAACATATAATAAAATTAAAGAGGAGACATGAATGATTATGAAAGAAAAGAACGTAACCATAAAAGAAGAAGGTTAGTGGTCATGAAAGAAAATAAACTAGTTATAAAAGAAGAAGTTTAGTGGTAATGAAAGAAAAGAAAATGACTATGAAAGAAAGCTACCTAGTGGCCATGAAAGAAGAAAGTTAGTGATCTTTTATTATTTTTAATTCATATACTTAAAAATTTCAAATGTTTCAACTTCTCATATCTATATATATTGTGTCATTCTCCTCCTTTAGAAAGCTATTTCATAAGCTTATACTTAAAAAAGGGAGAGAGAAAAAAAAGAAAGAAAGAAAGAGATAATATAATTGAGTAAGAAGAGAAGTTAAAAATATTTGGAAGAAGATTCAGTCTTGGTGATTAAATATTCAAGTTAAGAAAAATATTTAATTTAATTATTTGTTTTTATATGATTTTAGATAAAATTGAGTTGAAAATTTCATGATTTAGGATTGATTATGTAAAAATTATATTTTAGTATTAAAATCTTAATTTTTTATAGAATATATGATGATTAAGTGCATTTAAATAAGAATTGAAAATGTTAAGTTAAAATTTAATAATATTAAATTATATGAATATAATTAAAGGAGAATTGAATAAATTAGAATAGAATTGATGATTTAATTAAGATTTTTAATTTAAAAGAAATTATAAGAAAATAATTGAAATTAATAAAAAATTTAAATGATTAGAGATAAAATAATAATATTCAATTTTTTATGTTATATGGTGTGCATGTTTAAGGTATTGAATCAAGTCAAGGTACTGATTTTTAGAGAAAGGTTATGATAAATAGTGGTCTTAAGTGAATCAAGTAAGTATAACTTACACTATGGACATAAATGTCATGTGTTTTTATGTGATTGATGTGATGTGATAGTCTTGATGTGCATTCATATGCATATATATTTTTACATGTTGATTGAAAGAAAATGTTTTAAGTAAACGAATGAGGTCATTTTTTTAATGTATATTGAAGTTTAAATGTTGAGGTTGCCTATCGAGGCATAAACGTTGAGGTTTAAAGGTTGAAGTTTGATTGTTAAATGTTGATGTTAATGTTTTTATGCATGTTTTTATTGAGGCTAGACTCTAGTAATTAGTGTTAGTATCTTCTAACGAGTCTAAATAAAGAAAAGAATTTTAATTGAATCAAGTAATATTCAATTTCTTATGATAAAATAATAATATTCAATTTCTTATGTTATATGGTATGTATATTCAAGGTATTGAATCAAGTCGAGGTATTCATTTTTAGAGAAAGGTTACGATAAACAGTGGTCCTAAGTGAATCAAATAAGTATAACTCACTTACACCATGAACGCAAATGCTATTTGTTTTTATGTGATTGATGTGATGTGATGTGATGGTCTTGATATGCATTCATATGCATGTATATGTTTTACATATTGATTGAAAGAAAATGTTTTAAGTAAACAAATGAAGTTATTTTTTTTAATGTATATTGAAGTTTAAAGGTTGATGTTGCTCATCGAGGCATAAACGTTGAGGTTTAAAGGTTGAAGTTTGATTGTTAAATGTTAATGTTAATGTTTTTATGGATGTTTTTATTGAGGCTAGACTATAGTACCCAGTGTTAGTATCTTTTAGCGAGCCCAAATAAGAAAAAGAATTTTAAAGATATTCATATACAAAAAAAATTAATGTAAAATCATATATGTTACACTTATTGGGATATTCGTATATCACGTTCATTCCGTAGTGTAGGTAATTATGCAAATATTAAGGATGTTGATGCTACTCCTAGTGACTAGTGACTTATGTGCTTGCCTTTGCGTGTTTCTAACGATTAGGTTATGCTTTAAATGAATATTTATTTTTAAAATAATAAATGTAATGATATTAAACTTATGAATGTTGAAAATTTTTACTTAGAATTTAAGTATAAATATTATGATATGATTATTTAGGACTCGTTAGTTATGGTGAGAGATGTTTTTATGAGTGATGAAATTTTAAAATAACGCTTTCGTTATGTTAATGAGAAAATCCTATAATTATATATTATTAACGATATATTTTAAATTAATATATTTAAAAATAAATAAAATTCAATTAGGAACTTAATTTTAAAAAAATTTAAAGAATATAAGTTTTAATATTGATCCGTTCGATCCGATTCTCCAGGTGAGGAGGGACAATGTGAGGAGAAAATTAGGGCTGGACAGAATTCCCAACTACAGTGGATTGAGCATGTTTTGGATGGGTTTGTTGGTTCTGACAGTGAGGAGAGTTCCAGCTCCTCTGAGTCTGAGTCGGACGATTTTGATTTGCTAAGTGACATATCTGCCGCAATAAAACCAGCACAAGCGAATAGACCATAAGAAATGGAGATCTGAAGCAGACATGATTGCTGCTCATTTCGTTGATCGTTTTTTTTTTTTTTTTTTTCCTCGTGTCACGGATCTTGTTTGTGCTTCGGTCCTTGTTTGATCCCCATTCATAAGAAGTTCACCGGGTCTACTTAAAAAGCATTGGCAAAAGAGCATGATATGGAGCCTCCAAACTCAGGGGATTGGATTAATCTCAGCAAGCAACTCTTCGAATTTCTGGACAATTATCCCCTTCCCCTTGTATGCCCCCACGAAAGAAAATTTTGTTATTTTTTCATAATTTAGTTGAGAGTTTATATATAAAAAAAAATCTTGAATAGTGATCATCAAGTCAAAACAATTTATTTCAAGTATCATTATGAAAAAAACAAAGAAGAAGAAAGAAGCAATTATTGAATACAGATCACAGTTGAAAGAAGAAATTGTTATCTTAAAAAAAAAAATCACAAGACAAACAACTCTTGCAAGAAAATGCAGCAAATTATAATTAGTTTTTTTAGTTTTGAAAAAAAATTAATTATTCCCTCTTTTTGAATTTTTTTAATCTTTGTATTTTTAAATTTTCTTGTAACTTAAATTATCTTTTTAATTTTTAATTTTAACAAACAATAAAAGAATTAAGTAAAAAATATTAAATAATTGATTACAAAATATGATATTTTTAAATCTAGTAATATTAAATCAAGAATGATAAATACTGACTAAATAATTATTTTATAAACTAAAAGAAGACTATTTAATTTTTTTTCTTGAAATGATAGGGATTAGTTTGTAATTTACTCCACGAAAAGCAGGAAAAGCCTAATTCATGTTTGAAGGAACAAAAAGACCAGAAGAAAAGAACTCTTTCAAATTCCTTCGGTTTCTACATTTTCTTATTACACTAAACCATGTAAAACACCTTCAAATCGTTGATTCTGTTCTGGGTTTTCTTTAAAATTTGCAAAGACTCAAGCTTTTTGTGTGTTTTGTACGTTTGGTTCTCTTAAATATGGCCTCTGGGTCAAATTCTCAAGTTGTAGATTTAGAAGATGATGTTGAAGAGAGTATCACCGATGAAATAATAAAGGAAGGGGTTTCGTCTTTAAAATCAGCTTTCATGTCTCAGCATTTTGCTGAAGTTGAAAGACTTTTGGTGTCCATGAAAGAAAAAATGGTGCTTGAGAATAAGTCATTGAAGAAAGATAAGGAATTGATGGAAGGAAAGGCTCGGAATGAGAGATTGGAGAGATTGATAGCTGAGACTGAGCTGAAGGAGTGTAAAAGAGAGTGTTTGCAGTTGAAGAAAGAGCTAGAAGGGTTTAATGAGTTATTGAAGAGTGGCGGAGAGGATAAGAGGATAATTAGGGAGCTCAGAGAGGAAATTTGTGAGTTGAAGTGTGCAAAATTGAAGGCAGAGACTGAAGTTGATGCATACAAGAGTAAGTTTGAGGAACTGGGGATGAGGGTCTTCCTTTTAGAGAAGGATCTGAAGCTGTTGACTTCTGAAGAGCCTGTAAATAATGTTGGGGTTTCTAAGGGGGTTGTGGAAGAAAAGGTTTTGGATGAGAATGTTGTTACTGTGAAAACTGAGGTGCTTTGCAGTAATTCAAATTATAATATTGTTGTTAAGGCAAATGGTGGTCCTAGGTCTCACTCACCAGAGAGCAGAAAAGGTGATGTGGGGGTTCCAGGTTCGGTTTCTGGTGAGTGTTTGGGAGAGACGGCTGTGAAGGAAAATGGAAACGGCAGTGAAAGGGTTGTTGATGTGAAAGTTGAGACGGTTGCTGCTGATAATCATGAGAACATGGTTTTAGTGGCAAATGGAGGTTCTAGGAGCAACTTGCCGGAGAATGGAGTTGGACACGTTGTTGGTACAGGTATTTCTACGATCCTTGTGTTTTTATTGTCATCTGGATTTGTCAATTTGATTATATTTGTTTGCTCATGTTTTGATTAGAGAACTATAAGTATGTATTAGTTAAGTTGACTATGTTTGCTTTTTAATTTTTCACTCAGATTTTGTTTGGAGAACTGTTGGTCCGTAAACATTAGTGTAAGTTTCTGTCATGTGATTTCTGAACTCTGTTGAATTTAAATTTCTCTGAGCTTCTCTGCTAAAGTTCTTAGTCAAAAGAAACTGTGCTGCAAAATCCTTCGTAGTCCAAGAAAATTCCTCTTCAGCTCGGACTCCCACGAGCAAAAGAACTTTAAAAGAACTATGAACCTTAAATGGACAGAGAATAAGTGACATGGATTAAACCATCCTCAATCTCATCTAGAAAAATACCTTTCAAATTCAAACCACTCAGAATATTAACATTAAGAAACTAATCAAACAACCTGTATATTTACCCAAAATATCAATAATTCATGACAACTTCATACGAGCTTAATTGCACTAGCAATAACTAGCAATAACTCTAGAAACAGACCGCCAAACTGATAGGTGGAATATTACTTACTGGGAATCTGGCGTATGTTCAATTATGGCATGGCCTAGTGTTGCATGGCGTATTGAGGGTATTACCTGCCACTTGAACTGGAGAGCATTCCTACAAGATGATATCGCCTTCTTACAATTTACAATGTCATGGTTGCGACAACCAGATATTGATATTGCACTTTTTTTCCTTTGCCAGGTAGATTGACATGTCAATCACTAGAAATTATAGAGATTAGTGACATTGATGATGACTCTTCTTCGAATGCAACTTTGAGTACAAAAAAATTGGCCAAGCAAGGATGCCAGCTTGAAGCAGATTTAGGTCTGGAAGATGTCAGCAACAAGACTAAACTGCTTAAAAGAAAACGAACCTCTTGTTCAAATTCTGAGGATGATATTGGTGGTAGCAACGAGCCCAGGGAAACAAAATATCAAATGTTGATTCAAGGCCCTGAAAGTGTTCCTGTCAATCATTGTGCAGCAGCAACCATGTTTTCTGGAAGTACTGACAGAAGAAATGTTTTTAATCCATCAAGGCAAACTCCAACAATTTTGAGACAATGTGAGGAGAAAACTAGGGTCGGGCAGAATTCCCAAATACAGTGGATTGAGCATGTTTTGGATGGGTTTGTTGGTTCTGACGGTGAGGAGAGTTCCAGCTCCTCTGAGTCGGACGATTTTGATTTACTTAGTGACATATCTGCCACAATAAAACCAGCACAAGTGAATAGAAACCATAAGAAATGGAAATCTGAAGCAGACTTGATTGCTGCTCTAGAGCAAGAAGTAGAACTTTGTTTAAGGGCTGTTTGTGCTCTGTTCGGACAGCAGGATGCTGTGGAGAAATCATCGAACTTCTCTTCAACTTTCCAAAATCAAGTATTTGACAAGGTTGATGCAGCCAGGTATGTCAAATTTTGCACGTTGTTCTGTCTTCATGTGCCACTGGGATTAAGGATGGTTGATGGGTATTACTTCGGAATCATTTTTTAGAATGAGGATTATTTGACCCTACTCTGTCGCATAACAACAAACCTTTCAGCAATCAACTACACGTTAGTTCTCATGAATTTGTTTGCGTGTTCGGAAACAATTAATTTTGTAAAAGAATAGAAGCGAACTGGTTTGGTGTTACTTACTCCAGTGACACAGGAAAGGCTTGGATAGATATGCATGCGTGCTATTATTTGTTTCTGTTTTGGCTGGGAGCTTTTAGTAGTGTGAAATAGAGAGGAAAGGAAGTGGGTTTGTGGATTGAAATTTGAGTTGAATGTAGAAATTAAGGCATATATAGGTGATGCTTTGTTGGTTAGAAGTGAAGATGAGGCGGTCTGGTGGTGAGGTTGAGTTGCTCCCTGTGATGGTATCTTGGGTTACTTTAGCAGGAGCAGGAAAGAGAACGGGATATAAAACTAGTCCACCTAAGAACCCCACATGCACAAGTACTGATCAGTTGATACATTTTAAAATTCAGGTAGTCTGCTTGACATGTGGATGAGTTAGTATTTCTCTCCATAACTCTGGAAGAGCACTGGTTGTACTTTGAACTGCTCTATCTTGGTTTGTGATTATTATTTACCGACTCCTGAAACCAGTATTATACCTTCTCTTTTAAAATAACATGTTTCTTTTCCTTTCTTGTTTTAACTGTCATTTGTTGCTTGTTACTATTATTCACGATAATAGGCTTTGGTTAACACATTTCTCCAGGGGCACTGCTTTGGCTCAGCTTCTCATCGACGGGGATCCCCGAGGGAAGCTGAAGAAATCAGGTTTTGAGCTGGTTCTAGATGATGCAAAAGGCTTCTTCGATTGCAGGAGACTGGCCATCAAGTACTCTAAGCAATTATTTGAGATGTACCAGCTGAAAGGGGATCCTCTTTTCTGAAATTGAATAGCAAATGCTGTTATCAGAAGTTTGGAATGGTGGTACTTTTCACCGTTCCTTCACCCATAGGCGTTCACAGTCTAGAGTGGTTGGCTATCTGTGTTACTAGCCCCAATTGGCAGTAATATTTTGGGTATTACCGGTTCCCTCTGGCGTGTAGGTCAGTCTTCAGAGGTGGAAAGGAGTAGGGACTAGGAATTGAGAATACAGAGTGTTAATGTTGATGGTATGGATCTTATTTTACTAATGAATCTTGAAGTTATGGTAGTGTCCTGTAATTAGCAATCAAGCATAGTAACATGGATGTCCAGTACTCTTCTTAAAAATGTTTGAAATCATCTTTTAGATTGGATGATCAATACATATTGGGAAAAAAAATAATAAAACCATAATTCATCACTGTGATCCATCCAGTATTCCATCACTGTCTTCCATCTATTTTAAGTTTGTTATTATAAATTATATATGTATATAAATAATTTAAAATTAACACATTTTTTTATCATCAGTCGTATTTATTCTATAATTTATATACAAAACTTGTTAATTGTGAATATTTTTATATATTGGATAGTTTTGGTTGATGGACAGCTGCGTGTCAAGTGCATTACCATCAAAGGAAGCAAATTCCACCAAAAGTACATATATAATAAACACTAATCATTCGAAGGTTTATAGATTAATGCAAAACTAAATAGGCCCAAATAATCAAATAGTAAGTTTGCAACTTCGCTGATTAACAAAGAAGACATGGCCCGAATTAAACAATGGCCCGGCCTTGTTTTCTTTTTCTTATGGCAACTTGGAAATGGTTTTTTGGATCATATAAATGAAAATAAATCCACAAAAATACAAATTCTTCACATATGGGTATAGCCTAGAAAAGTAGGAGGCCCATTATCGAAACAACAACTAATAACGCGAAGCCGAAAGAAGCAAAATTTCAGTAGTGTTACAGTCTTTCAGAAGCCGAAATCTGCTTTCAAAATTAGGGCCTTTTTTCTTCCTTAGTTCGAAACCTACCCTTGGCGGTTGGCACTGTACCTATATCCAATTATTACCCGACAAAGAAAATAATACTGCGCTTCAAGACTACGCTTGATTCGATTAGAAACAAAAATATAACAGGAATTCTCTGCCTTTTGAATTTGAAATATTGCTTGGTTTACCAACGGATTTATTCTATAAATGATCACTATACGGTTTTAATTTTTTTGTTAAGATCCTATATGATTTTTTAACTTGATTAAAATTCTATATTTTTACAAATCTATTGATTGAGATCATCTATTAACTGAAATCTAAAATGACATGTCAAAACTAACAACAAGCAATTAGATATGAGAACGTAGTGATATGGACCTCAATTGTTTTAATATACGTTCGAAACTAAAAAATACTAAAATTAAAAAGATTTATATTATTAAACTAATATCTAATATATAAAAATAAAAAGCAAAAGACAAAACTATCTCCACTCTTATCATACCAAGCAAACTCTAGTAGCCACCTCCTTTTCACCACAACCTACTACCAAATGCCCATCACCACCACAACTTGTGGTACCACAGCCTGCTCCACCATCCAACAACGACCATTTTTCACTCTTTATCCAAACCCTCATCCTAGCCACTCCTTTGTCCCAGCCACAACCCCTCCAGCTCGTTGAAACCTAACAACTTAACTTAGCTATAGCCACCATTAACCACAACATTCATCTCCTCTCAGTTATGCTTCAGCTAGCCCAAAACTTACCACTAACCATTTCAACCTCTTCAATTTGATATAAACTCTTAAGCTCAAAACACCACTCATAGCCATTACACATCTAAGCTTAGAACACCAACCCTGTTGCCATCTTCATCGTCTATCAAGCTTCGATTTTCAATAGCTCCGAACCACACAAAACCCTATTATCCAGCCATTAAAAGAAGCCTATTTAACATTATCATTTAAACAGAACTACTATTTAACTAGATGTTTCTTTTGGTCGGAGTCTTGAGAGAAGAATTTCATGCGATTTCAACTATAGGTTGTAGCTAGCACGAATTATCGACTTGTTTTGGCGAGTGAAAAAAGACGCTTATAAAAAATATCAAGCTATTGTTTATGAGAAACCTTGGGAGAATTTGAAGAATGCGACATCGTTTGAGCCTTTTAAAGATTGAAAAAATGTAATGCTCGGATATAATGTATTATTTTCTATGTTTTTTTCAAAAAAAATTTAGAGATGGTAATGATAATAAATGATAGTTTGAGAATAATTAAAGATGTTGCCATGCCGGAGGCAACAAAGAAATGAATCGAGAGTGGCAATTGTTAATTTTTTACGATCGGGGATGATGGGGGTGGACAATGGCTTTAACTTTTTCAATAATTTATAAATATTACGTATTAGTTTAATAATAAAAATGTTTTTAACTTTTTTTTACAGGAGGTACTGTTACTTAAGACCGATATCCACACACACGCACACACACATATATGAGAAACTAGGTGCATTGTTCTTGGAAAGATCATCTAGAAACATATGCACAAAACGGGATAAAAATTAGTAACGCTTAGACTTGAAGCTGGTAGAACCAGTTACAAAAACAACCACCTTAAGCAGACTGCACCAAGTTATAATTCTTTGTTTGCTTTTAAGGCATTCCCTATAATGCTTGATGGATCCTCTAAAAGAATACGCAATTAAAACTCAGATCATGCCTCTATTAAAGAAGTAAAAACCAAGTAAGATACAAATCCAGAAACCTAGTAAGATACAGATACAGAGTTGGAAAGAGGACAGTAGGTTCCAAAGCATCACCTAATAAAAACACCCATCGTTCAATTTCATGCTCCTAGAAAGACCCGCGTAATTTTAATGCACGACAGAATAATACAAGGGGAGAAAAGAAAAGAGTAGGTAATGAATTAAACACTCCCAAAAAATTGCAGACCATATATATTCCTTGATAAACTGGAAGTATCCTAGAAAAATGTGCCAAGCAAAAGTCAGACCCTAGTTGTATTTTAATAAACTAAACTTAATGACTAGAATGAAAAAGAAAACTTGCTTTGACCTAAGATTGGAATCCAAAATCAGAAGGCAAAGTAAGGAAATACTTGCTGATCTTGTAGAAAATATAATCATCTAGAAAATATCTGTGCAAAGTAAACCAAAAAAATAAGAATTGTTGATAGTTGTCGGCAGTTGAAAATGAATGGAGAGAGAAGAGCAAAGAAAACAGCCATATTGATGAAGTTAGGTACCACTGACAAAAGCCCATAAAACCGCAACAAGCTTCCTTAAAGCAGTTGATAGCTTGCTGGGCGTACACACAATTGAACTCAGATGTTAGTTATTTAGCCTGTATAAATTATATAAGACACACAAGAAGTCCGAGACCATGAAAACCAAAGCTTGGAATAAGCACCCGAACTGTATCCCAGTGCCACGCAAAAACATAACCAGCATTTAAATTGCAAATGGGCGATGCACAAAACACTCGCAAGGTAATCCTAGTCCTATCGATGCATTAAACACTCCCAAGGTAATCCTAGACTTACATGTTCCAAACATGGAAAAACATGCAAAAGAAATGACCGATACAAAATTATTGATCCAAATGAGAAATCGAAGATACTTGGTCCATGACTTTTGAAAAGTGATGAGTTGAAGAAAATATGCAGATGGTGAAAACATAATGAAGCAGCCCAAGCAATGAGAAGTTAATTCCGAATTATACCAGCCCAAACATTCTTACAGCTCTGGAAAAGCAGAGACTTTATTTTCCATTTAAGAACTAAAGGAATCCTGGGAGACACTAACAAATAGCACCCCTAAAATAAGAGATGAAGAATAAGAATTGCCGGCTGCAATACCAAAACAAAGTTAAGGGGACACTGTGACCTGCTGCAAGCATCATGATCAGCACAAATGAGCAGATTATGACACTATTTTGCAAAGACGGGTTAAATTAAAATGGAATAGCGCAAACTGAGGAAGTAAAGAAACGAAACCAGCCAGACTAAAATTTCTCACATAACCAGACAGTCGAGCGCTGTCGTCAAGGCTCAAAAAGAAAACCTGACTTAGATATTCTGACAAATTAATTCTTTGAATCCACGTAATCTTAAGCTGACACCTTTATTAGCCTCGTGCCAGAATTAATTTCCCGTTAAAAGCATTCTCTTGAACAATCCAATGTACCAATTTGGTCCATTTAACCTTTTATTTTCTCTATTTTGTTTTAGGCTCCGGGTGTGTTTAAAATCATAATTCACACACAACAGACGCAAAAAACTTAAAAAGGCATTTGGTATGTGAATTTTAGATGTTTTGTTGGATGTGATTGTTGTTCATTCATTTTTTATTTCCACCTCTATGTGAAAATAACTCTACACGTAATTATTTAGTGTTTGATATATATTATATTTCTTTTTTTATCTTAATACATTATATTTTATTGTTTGGTCATGACAGTAAAAACTATTTAAAAATAATTATTTAGTGTTTGATATATATGAAAAATAAGTGTTAGAAAGAAAGGAGAACAATAAATAATCTCGTTGAATATTTTCATCTCACAAGAATCGTAATTTTAAGCTTGTTTTTTCTTAAATATTTTTCGTTTAACCAAAATTTTCTTGTGGTCGCGGAATCGCTTGTGTTTAGTCGGTGAAGTCGGAGAATTTACTCGACACATGCCATCAGGAAATTGTTCTCGTCTTCTAATTCTATCTGTAATGGTAATCAATATGCTGATTTTATCGTTCCTTTGGACTCACGTAATGATCTTCAGCTTCAGATTTGGCAGGCATTAGTCAACTCCAATAGCAAGCTTCTTGTAGCTGTCTCTTTTCCATCATATTCTAAAAAAAAAAAAAAAAAGCTAGGCAAGTGGCAAACCAACGTGAATAATTAAAAAAAGAAGAGCAAATAATAATTTAGCACTTGTGTTTTTAGACCATTGACGCCTTGATTCGTTAAAAGCTCCCTTAGTTTTTAACAAAGATATAAAAAAATTAAATTGATGACAGCGCAACACATCTTATTGAGAGGCACTTGACAGAAAGACTGACGTATAAAAACACAAGGTTGCAATACTGGGCTATTAAACCAATCAGAGTAACCAATTATTTTTAATAATTATTTACTAGAAAAAGAAGAAAAAGAAAGTATACTCTGCTAAACAAAATTGTTTAGAGGTAAAACATCTAGTGGTGGTGGTAGAAGAAGAAAACTTGATTCTTTTTGGCAAATCTAACCCGGCCAGGTTAAAAACGCCACCATTTTAGTTATGCATCTTGACAAACGATGGAAGTTATTGAATCTGAGAATAAATAACGAAACCATGCCGAAGTGTCCATCTCGTAGTCAGCTTCCACGGAGTCCACGAAGCAACCACCATCAATCAAACTCCTGCAGCTGGGATATTTACAGTATTGGGTTGATTTTTTTTTTTTTTTTTTTTTTTTTGTCTTCTTTATCAGCGGATACGATTCCAAGAATTTAAAAGCAAAAGAATGGATAAGAAACAGTAAGGAAAATATTATAGACAGCAAGAACAGCTGATTAGAGAGATTATGACATCCATCCCTTTCATGCCGAAGCTCTTTTGGCACCGCACAGCTTACTGTCCAACAATTACAGACCTCTCAGCACACCTTTTGACCTGTAAGGAGATATCTGATGAACTGTAAACTTCTGCGAGCCCAGTAAATCATTCTCAATACAATCATACCTGCATACATTTGAGTAAATATACATGAATTATGTAACGAATTTTTGTATGGACAACAAATAATAGAAGTTACTTGAGTTTCATCACCATAAATATCTCAAGTAATTTGTCTTTTACTCTCGTTCCAATCTATGTCATCAAACTAAAAACTGAAGTACAAATCTAAAAGGTGATCTCATCTCTATTGGTATTGACTATTGTCATTCCGAAGATTTGCCAAAGTTTTTTGACGCAGTTATATAGAAGGTTCAGATTGCATAAAGATCAAAATATTAATTCACACGGCAAGAAGTGATTCTGGTTTGCTTTCAAGGTTTTAGGAAGAAACTCACAAATTTCGGCAGAGATTGTCAGTGGAAACTGAAACAGCAATGATCCTCATTCTCAAATTCTCAATTTTATCCTCTCCGTACTCATCAAATTGCTCTTCTAGAAGCAATGAAAGCTTCTCAACATTTCCCTCAAACTGTTGCTGCTGGTCCTCAAACAAGTCCTTTTTAATTCTCCTTTCCTCACTGGTCAGTTCAGTGTTATCGTCAAACATGTAAAATGCAAGTACATAAGTAAGTGAAAGAATATGCCTTGATCTCGAGAGCATGTATTGTCCATTGGTTATCCAACTGAAGTCTTTACTTGTTGATTCCTTCTCTTCCAGTTTTGATACTTTTCTCCGAATGGCTTCCTTAAGGTCTGATTCAAGCTTAAAAGAATCTAGATGAGCCTTATATCGGTTGTGGTAGTGAATGTAACGAGCAAGATTCCTTTCCGCACAAGCAGCTTTCTTTTCATGGTCATCTTTATATCTCCCACAACTGTGACCGCTGATTCTTTCCCAAGTATGCTCTCTACCAGTGGCACAGCCGCAGAGCCAACTGTAAAAAAGGAAAATTGATACAAAAAATTATGAATTGCCAACCACGTGACTTAAAGAGCACATTGTTAGATGCATCAACCAAAACTAGCCTAAAAAAAAGTAACCATTCCTTCCTGATGCCATAAAATTGACAATCTAGTCTACGAGATAAATATAATATCTTAAAGTCATTTTGCAAAGCAACAGAACAGGACTAAAATAAAGCTTTTACACTCGTACAAAGACAGCCACGCTCTGAACACTCTTATTACTACAACATACATAGATTGTGGAACCTACCAATGACTTGCTAGCAGTCAGTCGAGGACTTTAGAACACCTAAAGCAGTTAACTTCTGGTAGAATTTCAAGAACCATTAAGTGCAATGATGAGATGGGAAGACAATAAAAGTTACATGTGATTTGTTTTTGTTACAACTAAATAATATCTCTAACGAAATATGTAGCTTATTTAAATAAAAAAAGAATAAGAAAAGAAAATTGAAGAGCTAAAATCGGAAATTTCTTAAATTAACAGCTATTCATTGAAGTAACAAATGTTGATATCATCCATCCTTAACAAAACACCTAGCCAAACATAACATATGAAGTAGCCAAAAACTGCAAAAAAATCAACAGATTCATGGCAGGGTAAACAAAAAAATATGATAGATTTAGAGAAGTAACCAAACAAACTCTCACCAAAATGCTTGCCCACAAATACAGCGTACTAGGTTGCATCCTCCATTCTTTTCAACAGCCTTGTGACATTTTGGGCAGGGCTTTGTATGAACTGTAATCCAATTGACTGTCTCTGATTCATCCTGGCATTTCTTTGACCAACACTCCCACATTCGACACGAACAAGGTGAATGTGCTTCAGAAGAGCAACTAAAACAAAACTGTACGCCGCAAGCACATTCAACCTCACAAAGTACATCATCATCGACTTGTATTGCATTTCCACAGTGGGGAACACTAGGGCACCATTTCACTCTTCTATTATCCTCAACATATGACTCTAAAAGAAATCGATCAAATTTCTCTGCTAGATAAGGATCCCTTGCACTAACAAAATGCCTGACTTTCACATTGTCACATACAGCATTGCACTGGGGTGTCATGCACTGAATGCGTCTACTCTGACCCTCATTTATCTTCACAATGAAATGTGAAGTCCAACCTAAAAGGAACAGACAAAACAATTTTATTCTTATTTTTCAGGTTTGGGAAAGATAAACAAAACGGACGAACAGAGTTAACTTTCTCAAATTTTAAATAGGCATCGGGAAGATTTATATATTAGAAGAAATTTCTGTCGGCTGAAAATATGATCGTAAATTCTTTTTGACAAGCTGTATCATCCATAACCTTTAATTTTTTTTTTCCAGAGAAAGGGGCAATGACAGGTCCATCATTGTTGCCACCCTTTATATAATGGACAAAAGGATCACTACAATTTACCTGGATGCTGGAATTTTCACTACAACATTTACATTAAAAAATTCTTTAAACTGAAGGATGAAGACAGACGCATTCCCCGGTTTTCTTTATGCACCAAGAGAATAAAACAATCTGGTATCTTTTTGGCAAGCCACGAATGATGAGGAGTTGAGAATTTGTTTGGCACAAATATCCAGCACATAAGATATAGTAACAGAGTACTTACAGCTATTGCAAAAAACATGACCACAGTCCATGGCACTCACTTCACTGGCCAACACATTATCAAAGCAAACACCGCACTCCACTGAAGATGATGATTGGGATTGTGCAAGGTCACTATGGTCTGTGATTGTCACACCTGCATCAGCGTATAATCTCTCTTTCCCCTTGTCTACAAGCAATTGAAGCACCTTATCAACATCCCAACGATAGTGAATAAGTAAGGCTCGTGCATGGTGTTCCTTCAGTGACAGCAAGTCCATTACTCTGCGAAGGTCCTCCCTCTGCAAAGTTGAATATCCGCATTCGATTTACATCAATCCAAAGCAACATATTAAAGTTTTCATCTTCTCGAAAAAGCATTGCTAACTACCAAAAGTCGGAAAGTGTATACAAGGATAAAAATTAGCTATCGTAGACAAGTTACCTGTGCAGCCAATAGTGATTCTTTTGTGATTACCTGCAAAAGGAGAAAGGGAAAATTAATTAGAACAAAACAACCAGTCATCTGATTCAATAGAAAATAAAAGAAAGAACTTTTTTATATTCAAAAATCAATTTCTCAAGTAAACAAACGATCAGAAATGGAAATTTCCAATAACAAACTGTAGGAATTGCCAAATTACACTATCAAAACTAGAAAATTCAACAACCTAAGACCAAAATCACCAAAAAAATCTAACAGCTCTATTATTGATTGACTGATAGAATACAGGAAAAAGGAAACCTCACGAGAAAAATAATAAAAAATAAAGCTTAACAAAACTAAGTCTCTAAAACCCAATAAGATTCACTACCAAAAAAAAAAAAAAGAAAAAAAGAAACTGAAGGACTCAAGAAACAAAAACCAAAACGTTACCTTACTGGTTGGACCACTTGAATTGATGGGCTCTATAATTTCAGTCTCCATTAGATACCCATCGTCCTCCATAGAATCTCCGTCAGAATCATAATCACAATTATAATACTCGCAATCTTGATAACAGTAATCGTAATCGCCATCACTGATCACACTATAATCCCCCATTGTAGCCTCTCACTATATATTTTTCTAAGTAAATACTTTATATACGTGCGTGCACAAGAGAATTGTGTAAACCCAAGAAGGGACTGTGGTCGTCAATTTTAGTGGTAGAAATGAAATGGAATTTATTTAAAGCAAAAGCAAAAACCCTCCCGAGAAAGCACGAGGGCTTTTGTTTTGTTTTATGAGACGATTACACCAAGTTCATCTCCATAAACCCCTCCTTAACTACACCTGGATTTTTTCGGCGTTCCTCCGAGTTGTCCAGGGGAACCTCAAACTTGTCCCCAGGATATCCACTTCTTCTTAATTATGTCCCTATTCAAAACCTTATTTCAGATTTAGATCCTAGAAGAATCAGATGTTTCTCAATTGAGTCCTTTCTCCATGTCCATCATTATTATCCGCTTACGAGAATTTGAAATTTGCGATGATTTTTTAGATCACGTGGCTCTGTTGAGAAATGATTTATACATTACAAAAAAACTAAATTAAAGTATTCACACTATTTAACCATATTTATTTGTAATATTCATCAAATGCATCATTCATTTCACTGTAGATTAGTTTTTTTTTTATAATTTTTAAATATTTTTAAAACATTTATTATAAAAGTTATCGTGATACTATACTTTAGTTCACTTTTTAAATATTATTTTTTAATCTGTAAATATTTTTTATTTAATTTTGGTCTCATTTTTAATTTAATCACTTTGATCCTTTTTTTTTTAATTTTTTAATTAAAAATTTTAAGGTAAAAAGATGTTTAGAAAAAATAATTTATAAAATAAAATTTAGCTAAAAATATAGATAGAGATAAATAAATAATATTTTTTAATAAAAATTTTATGAAAATATAAAGAATAATTAATCAAATACAAAATTTTGATTAAAAAATGATAAAATTGAAAGAATTTTTATTCAATTTTGATTTGATATATTTTGTTAGTGTATAATATAAAACGAAACATCAAAACGAAATAATTTTTTAAAAATAATTTTATGTATTTTGTTTGACTCATAGCATAGTGGGGTAAAAAAAAAAATAGTTATCTCACAAACTAAAACTTTTCTAAGTTGGCTCCTTAAAATATAATATTTTCCTTGATTGAGTCATTTTATTATTTTACAAAATAAAAAATGTTCTATGAAAAAATTCATAAAAGACGTATATTCAACTTTAAAGAATTCGAAGTTTTATATATAAAAAAAAATATGATTATTTGAAATAAATAAAATATCCATTAGCAAGTTATATTAAAACTAATCTAGATGGCAACTATTCTTTTAAAAAAAAAAAATACATGAAAAGTCATTAGAAGAAAACAAAAAATATTGATTGGCATATATAAACTAGTATGGATCTTCTTCGTATTTTTAAATATGATTTTATCACATGTTTGACTACGATGAATATGTAATTTGATTATTATTTATTTATTTCTAGCCACATGTAATTTGGCTATATTGATTGGCATTCTGGAAAGGCATCAAATTAATTCGAACACGTTTAATTAACTGTATTTGGCCCATTTATTGTATATTTCAGATTTCTTGTTCAACGCAAGTGTTTGTTGATTTTGATAAATTTCTCTTTTCTTTTTCTTTTTCTTTTTTTTTTTTTAGGTATATAGCCATATAAGTCGTTCTTTAATTGTTGTGGTTTTGGAATTCTGGGTTCTTGTGGGTCATACTATGGTCTTTCATATCTGCCCTTCTTTCTCAAAGTTTGTGTTCATGGAGAGTCTGCTCTACAGTCTGCTTCTGCATATTAAAAGTATGGGATTGCGTTGCTGTCCCGAATTCCTGTTTTTAAACCTGATTCGTTGGCTAAGGCACTGAAGGTTTCTGATCTAATTACTTCGTGACTTTTGACGAGGATCCATTTGCTTCTACTGATGAAGATATTAATTTTCTATCTCATAAACATCATTTTGTCCACTCCTGCCATGTAATACTTGCAGCTTTAAACGTTTTAGAAATGTTTAGGAATGTACCGCTGCTATTCTCATTCTAAGTTCCCTAGAAGTTGATTAATCCTGCTAAAAATTATAACATAAGCACACTTTTTATCGTATTGTGTAGGCCTGAGAATTTTGTTCTTCCTGCTGGTAGTCATCTGCATTGCAAAATCCATATTGAAAAGCTTGTGCCTAAAGGGTGACGCTTGTTAAAAAATAACAGTATCCAACGAAGCTTTTTTCTTTGGCATGAACCAGCAGAGTCAACACCTTAAGATTAAGAAATGTAGGCAAGACTTTTAAGCACATATCAACCTGGAAAATAGGAAACCTTAACAAGGTAAGTTCAAAAAATCTGTTAGAATTAAAGAAAAAAAACATCAAAAATCAACTTTTAACATCACCAACCTCTATAGGATGGTATCCAGCATTAAAGTTTCAAGCTTAGAAAGTTCTTCATGCAAGGTGGCTAAAGAAGTATGAGAGGCGATGGAAATTTGATGGGCCATTTAAATTTGTTGAGTACTAGGCACCAAAATATACATCAAAAAGTTGTGGAACACAACTAATAGACAAGTTAATATCTAAGCCAAGGTATTTAAATGACAGGAGACTGGTTGCGTATATATGTTCTTCAAAACAAGGCAGAGATATACCTCCAAGTACTTCAATTGTGGGTATGGTCCAACAGCGTTCAAATTAACCAAGTTTCCACGATTTTGGACACATAATATCTCAAGAAATGTGCAATTGGATAGTAATTTGTCAAGTATATCATTAGTTAGATCTAATTTCTTCAAAGAAAGGACTAGAAGCGACTTGAAATGGCCAAACTTGGGAGGAAGATGCAGTTTGCACATTCTCAAAAATAAGCATTTGAGAGATGAAACGCTTTCTTCAGCAAAGAGGTGGAATGGAAAAGTATAAGTTTCAGAATAGTTAATACCCAAATCTCGATCTTCCGACAAGTCTAGCTGAGGGTATTGTACTTTTTTTACTTAATTGTTGCAAAAGAAACCCACCTATCAATGTGAGTAGTAACGTTTTAAACAGAAAGTAACAAACTCCAAACCTGTCTAAATTCGAACTTTTACGAGAGTTCAAAATATTATCCACCCAGTCTATAAAAGTATCAAAATCCAAATTGAGGCTTGGTATATATCTCCACAAATCTTTCCACCTTTGTGAAAGATAGACTGGTAGTTGCAGCTTCTTTCATCGCCAAGAACGATAAAATGTGGATAATAATTTCATCCGGCAAAGCACTGATCCAACCCACCTTCGAGGTACGAGACTGCTTTTCAAAGAAAAAATTTGACAAATTTAAAACAAGTTTTTTTTTTTTTAGTAGTGTTACGGAACTCACCAAGCTTACAATTTGCACTTAAAAGACACTGACTTTAGAAAGGAAAATAAAAATAAAAATTCGAACATACTCAAGACTCTTACTTGTTTAATCACTAAAACCAGACATGGATTTCTCCTATAGAAATAGAAAGGAAAAAGAAAACAATGTGAATACTCTTTGTCGACTCAGGGACCCTGACGACATAGCTAGTTTCAAAGGGTGAAGAACTAACTGTGGTACTGGCCTAGAGGGATTAACAATAATCCAGTTGAATATATATATATATATATATATATAGAGAGAGAGAGAGAGAGAGAGAGAGAGAGAGAGAGAGGAGGAGGAGGAGGAGGATTTTTCAACTCACCTCAACAGAAAGCGACCCATAAATACGTGGTATCTTCTTCGCAAGGAATTAATATTGAGTACAGACAGATTGGTGCCCGAAATAGTACAGCGACCTGAGATACGTTCTTCGATTTCCCCTGCTTTGGATTAAAATTACACCGGTGTCCTTCATTAGCTGAATCATGGTAGGATACTGCAAGCGATCGCAATGAAGACCAGCCGTGATTTATGCGGAAAAAAAGTGAGCATTATGGGCCTGGATTTACTAATAACTTGAAGTGCTCGTTTATTATATTTTTCTGAGAGGCTATCAAGTCCATTATCAAAATCAATTACACGTTAAAAGTCCTATTCCTCTGTCTACCTGTTTTACTGTAGGCGGTAGCAGACTAGCTGGAGGCTCAATATCAGTTTGCTTTTTTGCCCCTCAAATCCCATTTCCTCTTCCCTCTTTACCCTTTTACATAATTTAGTGGCTTAGTTTGATTGATCCGGCTTTTAAAAAAAAGTTACCTTTTGATTTTATATTAATTTAACCATAGCCACTCATCTCATCAACATCGATCAATGGTCAAGACGGTGCACTGGCTTATTGTCACTGAATATATCCCATTTGTTTAGGGTCCTCTTAATAGTTCCCAAAATAGTTTTATTGCCTAACTTATAATTCAAATTATAGATTAACCACTAAAGTAAGACAAATTGTTGAGATGAGGAGTATTCAAATTAAATGCATGTCATGTGGAACCGCCGAAAAAGATAAGAATCATTTATTTTTCATTTGCCCTTGCTCTGGAAAAAAAAAAAATTGTGCAGAAGTTTGCAAATCAATGGCAATAGTAGAAATGATGATTCGAGCAGTGCGGATTCAGACTCTGACAGAAACAAATATTAAGGAAGCAAAGCAATGCAAATGATCATATACGATGATCACACATTGGAGCTAAGCGACAGTGATAGGTCACGAGATGTTTAAAAAAGCTAACAAACTCGTAAACTTTGAGACAAAAAGGTTGCTTGCATCTGCCTTCAGACAGTAGCCCAAACTGACCTCTCTTTTCTCGTCAGGTTGATCATCCTTTTTCAGGTGTGGTTTTCCTCTATAAACTTTTGATGTAGTTAAGCAGCAGGTTTATTTTAATTTGCCCATTCTCTCCCGTCATTATGTCTAGTGCAGTTATATTTTTCCATGCAGGATGCAGCACATCTTGGTACTAATTCATGGTAATGCAAGTCGAATTCCTTAACAAAACAACTGTTGGTATAATTCACTATCTATTCTGGCAAATTCTTCTTCTGTACCAAACTCACGCTTCAATGACAAAGCACAAACATCTCTAACCAATGACAAGATCCAGAAAAATTCGCTTCCCCTGCTCCAGTCGACGGAGTTGGCCTCTCTGTTCTATTGGCAACCTAAGACGAACAATTCGAGGTTCAAGAGATCTCCAAATGAAACCCAAAAAAAAAAATTCCTTGTACTCACCCAAAAATCATACAGTATCTGATGCTGAAATACATTGACGGAATTTTTTTAATAGACCCAGCTACAAGAACATATACAAACAAAGGCAGATAAGTGGAGACGAGATCAATAATTTCCAATCTCAACGTTTGGAAAATTGTGGGGCCTTGCGAGCTTTCTTGAGACCAACCTTCTTCCTCTCAACTATTCTCGAGTCTCTGGTTAGAAGCCCCTGCCTTTTCAAAGGGATTCTGTGGTTCTGACTCACCTTTAGCAATGCTCGGGCAATGCCAAGGGAGATTGCCTGAGCCTGACCAGAGAGGCCACCTCCATGAGCTTTGACAAACACATCATAGCTGCTTTCGTACCCCAGAGTTACCAGTGGGACTTTCACATATTGAAGCCACAATGGATTACCTTGAAGATATTCCTATACAGTAATAGAAAGCCCCATCACAAAAGATGAATAACATGCAGGAAAAAAAAACGTGTGCAAAAAGGGTAGCATGATCACAGCAACAGTCAGAACTCAAAAGGCCAGATTATGGCATAGTAAGTACATGCAGCAGGGCTGCAATGTAGATGTAAATTGCCATTCTCATTTGCGGGTTTGGAACTTTGGTATCTATTGTATCACTTAGAATTGGGATGAACCCATGACAAAATGAGCTGCTGGCTGCTGCTCGCTGAAAGGTATGTATTCATTTGGAAGGTCGACTGATTTGATTGAACGCACAAGTCCTTGGATTTGAGGTCACAGAGTTGCAGGTTTTTTAACTATTGACAGCACTTATTCATCCAAAAAACTATTGCAACCTCCCTCAAACTGCTTCAAGGGAAGCAATTCTAGAGCATCGGTAATGGCTACTCTGAAGAAAAGTAAAAACTAAATCATAGAAAGGTGTAACCTTTCCTTTTCTTTATCTTTTGAGAAATAAGGACCAGCAAAGTACCAATGAACTAGAAATATGGCAAGCATAATGTTAATTCAGTTTGAATTACTCTCAAATATGTGTATATTGGAGAATTGACAAGCATTAAATACACTCATTGCTCGTAAACCAGCTTGCACCATGTAATTTTCCACATAGCAAGCTTTCAGATAACAATATGGATATTTTCTGATAAAATCCTGGAAACCCATCTCAGTGTGGCTGCTATCACTAGGGAAGCATAAAATAAATCGAGAACATAAAAAACAATCAACCAACCAAAAAATCACAGTTCCCAGAAAGTTTATTAACTTTATAGTAAGATAAAAGAATCGGCACAAAGAAATTAAATAATTTAAACAATTATATAAACAAAATTGATAGAAAATATAAAAAAAAGATGGAGAGTTGGCATTTACCTTGGCATCGCGGTAGTTGATGACGACTTTGCCAGTCCCTTCTTGAAGAACAACACGAGCAATAGCGCATTTACGGCGGCCAGTGCCATGAATAGGTTGAGCGGCGAAACCACCAGGGAGTCTCGATTTCACTAATTTCTTGAGGTCTATCGTGGCGGTTTCAGGTGAGGCAACGGTGGCCGAAACACGGAGAGTAAGGGGTTGTTTGGAGGAGTGGGAGAGTGAGAAAGAAAGAGATTTGGACCGGGAAAATGAAAGGGTGTTTGGTTTTTGGGAAATTTGAGAGGAGAATGAGAGAGAAGAGAGGGATGATGTGAGAGAGGAGATTGAGATTGACATTTTTTTCGGTTTCAAGGCAAATGGAAAAGATTAGTGTTTTTAGTGATGAGAGGGGAAAGATGGACGTTCAGCTGGTGAACGTAGGGAAGGGGATAATGTTTGTTAATTTGACGATATTACCCATTTATTGTTCCATCGAACGTTGTCGCATGAGGGATTGATAAAACTAATGCCGTGGCCGTGGTGGTTAGAAGATAATGACATATCGGGTGGATGAACCTCCGAAACGACATGTCGTTCAGTCCATGAATGATTCTACAATTCTATATAGCTACCTTAGGACACTTCGCTTCTTGAAAAACACCTAAGATTTCTTTGACAATTGTTTCTAAAAAAACTAAAACTCTGATGACACTCAAAAGTTACTGAAGCTAACCAATTTAGAAATGACAATCAAAATGTGTAACAATTTCTTAGCACAACAAAGTTGAGATGAAGACATTCTTGGATACAACAAAAATCGGTCACCCCTTCAAATCAAAATTTATCGGAGGTCAATCACTTCTAGCTGCATCATGATTCTGAATTGGTTTGGACAGCCTAGGAAAGAGTTAATCAAGTCATGGCATAACATGTTTCTTGCCCTAATCGGTCACTGCTAAAGCGACAATTGCTGGTGTCAACTTACAACTTGCATTCAGATCAATGATCTTCAACTGACCCTTCCCACCTCTTTACACGGCTCTCCGCTTCTTCAGCCTGCAATAACAATATATATTCAATCAAAATTTGTTAGTGAATCAAATAGCTAGGATTCAATCAACAAACTGAAGGCCATATTTTGAAAAGAGTGGAGAACACAGGAGTTGAAAGGACCTACTTCTCTGTTCCAGTTATTTACTGAAGTGACGATGATCAAGATTAACAGATGCCTCCAATCATCCCTGACCAAATACCCTGCAGTTCAAAAGTCGATATATACATAAGGATCAAAAAGAAAATAAATGGAATGCTAGTTGTAGATTAATCCAAGATGCATTTTTTATGCTAAATTGATTGCGCAGTGAGCCCAAAACTACAAAATAAGTGCAGGTAGGTTACCTCCACTGCAAAACCAGATATAAATCCCAAGAGTATACCAGCTAGCAAACCAACACTATAGTAACGACCGATGTTGATATATGCAACAAGAGACTGCCATCCAGCTCCAACAACAACACCTTAAGGAATGAAAAACAGACAAGGAAATGTAAATCTTAATACCCACTCGGGTTTTTACTCATGGTCGTCTACCAAATATCTATGGTCTTTAGTGCTTACCAGATAAGACAGGTTGAAGACTGTTCAGAAGTACTGTCACTCGAAGCAAGATACCTAGTTTTCTAGTTTCTTCGGCAACAGCTTTACTGCTGTTGGTGAAGAGGTAAGAGAAATAGCCTCTCGTTGCAAAAACCACGGCCATGCAAATTACCCCTATCGCCACAGATTTCACTGACACTACTAGCACTGAAAATTTTGCCAACCAAGCATTGCCAACTCCAAGTTCATTTGATACTCTCACAATGTTAGGACTTCAACTGTAAATGCCTTTTGTTTCTGTATTTGCTTGCTCATAAGCAGAAAAATAGTAGCATTTTTGGGGTCACAGCTACAATTTCTTTTTTTTCGGGTTGGGGGTCGTGGGGGCGGTTGTGAGTGTAACAGTTGTTTTAAGACTGACCAGCAGCCACTCTATTAAGGAGTGGAAGGAAAAGAAGATGCAGGACATCACCTTATTGCTGCATTGAATCCGATTGCAATCCTTGTATGTTCATGCTGCATAACATGTGGACATGGCATTGTTTAGAACCTGTCTCCTTTCTTTACAGCTAGAGGATGCTCAGTTAAAATTCCGAAAAAAGAAACTTTCTACCAATCACAGGGATGCAATAAAGAATGTCTCGACATTAGAGATGCCATCAAATTGAAGTGGACCAAAACCAAATGACTTGAGGTGGTGTGCATAACCTTCAAGTCATCAATAGACCCAAAAGGAGATGATAGAAACTCGACGACATAGAGATATCATCAACTGCTATCAAAGGATCAGGCAAAATACCTGTTATCACCACCAGTATCATCAGGCACCAAAACTCCAAGCTGTAATGAATCTAGCAAACAACATCAGCATAATACCTTATACAATTCACCACAAAATATCTGATGAACTGAAGAGGGGTTTATACCATAACATAACAGTAGAAGCCAAAGAAAGCTTAAGAAAATCCACAAATTTGAAAATGCAAGCCATGAGAATCCAATCCATGCACCATCTGATGTTGTAATGAAAATGTACAACAATTGTCCAATAACTATAAGCCACCATGAAGTATTCAGTGTGATTGCTGCTCCAGTTAAGCCACAGCCAAGTTTTAGTATTAGCAACCAGCTAAATAATGCGTGTGACACCAGTACCACAGCTGAAACCCAGGCCATTACCATGACCTTCCCCTGTGCTTGCAAGAACTTTTGAATGGAAAAATTAATTGCATAAGCATCCACCGAGCAAATTTCCCTGTAACCAAAATCCCCTACCAACAGTGAGAATCTTGTACCGTCTACAAGTGAAAGTAGGCGGCAAGTTTACTCCGAAACCTCACTATATCATTTTGCATTTTCTCTTCCTTTTCCCATTTGGGTGTTTGATTCCAATATATCCATTAGTTAACGTTTGTTTCTATCCTACTAACTTAACTCGTCTGTATTAGAACAGATTATTGACTAGGAAGTGAGAACATTTGAGAAAGAAAGAACAAGCAGTACTAACCAGCAGCTTCAGGTATTTGAGTAGCATCTCCAAAGAGCTCTAGAATGGGAGGAGACCAAACATAAATCGGAACTAATAAGCAAGCAGTTGTGAACAAAATGATCCATGATCTCTGCATGTATACACCCAACATTCTCAGCTGCTCCAGCACCATATGCTTGCCCACGTAATGTCTCCAATGCACTCCCGGATCCCAGCTACATTCAACACAAAAACTAAAGATCAAGAAAAATGCTGTGTTTTTTGAAGTATAAAGCAAAACATTCGTGGCAAAGGCAAAAAATGTACCATGATCCCAAAGGCTAGATCAGCAATAAAAGAATTCTCAACAGAAACAGCAGCAAGATCAACCTCATTGACAAGACCCGCAAAGGTTTGATTGAGTGCACCAAGCGAGCATTGACATGTGGCAGTAAAAATGGCTGGGCCTGCAAGCTTCCATAGACTCTTTGATTCTTGCCCGAATTCATTAACGCTTATAGTTTTTTGCTTATGATGCTCAATGTTGCTATGGCTGTGTAGAAGTGGAGTAATATCCGTGGCCATAACTTCCATAGTTACCTTTTGACTTTCGCTGTTGTTAACTGGTTAAGTCAGGATTACAAGGTTGATTGTGTGAGAGATTTTACAAACTGAAGTACCACTGGCGTTGTCTTGGGACCAACGATGTCATGCTTCAGAATCCCTCTCAACTAGATTTTGGTAGTGAATGGTTCATGGTTGGAGCTGCGACCATAAATAAAGAACCATACATGACTGTGACTGCACAATCTTGATTGAAGGAAATTAAATCAGGTAATGCATCAAGCAAATCAAGTCCTATTAGTATTAGAATAGGATCTGATAAAAAAATTGCATGAGCTTCGAACATCTTTGTCACTAACATGATTCGTACAGCGTGCACTACTGTCTTTATTTTTATTGATTGTATTTAAACTCAAATATTAGGATTAAAGTCACATTTGAATAAAAATCTCTGGTCTTTCTACTTATTCCTTGCAAATATTAAGAATTGAACTGCATCATATTATATATTAAAAAATACATTCCATAAAAAAAGTTTTAAATAGATTTATTAAGCTCCGAAAACTCCAAGAAAAACATTACACGGGAAAAAAGGGTTTTAGCCCCTTCAGTCCAAGAAACAAAATTCATATTGAAAAAATCAATTACCATTGCCCTCGGTCGAGCAAAAACAAAAATAGATTTATTAAGCTCCGAAAACTCCAAGAAATAAAAATAGAAAACCCCTAAATTATTAAAGAGGTTAGACCTAAATTAAAGAACAGAGCGCCATTGCTGATTGATTCTGAGAAACAATCATGACTCGAACGCGATCATGCTAATGAACTTGATAATTCTCTTTTTGTCGTTTGATCGATAATGGTTGGTTGGAAAGGTTTTGTTTTTTTTTTTCTTTTCGTATAAACAATAGATAAAAAGAGAAAAGGGCTAATTGAAGAGAATGAACATGGGAAAGGGGAAGAATCAATTACCTTTGGAGGGGAGGAGAAGAATCGCAGGCATTTTTTCAGAAAACATGAAGACGAGACGGTTAAATTACTATAATTAAACATGTAATATTAATTAGTTAAGGTTAAATATGGCATGTGGCAAGCTTGAGTTTCCCGCCAGATAGCTGACTTGGCATGACGATAACAACTCTCACAGCTCTCTTAGCCTACTTAGCTAGTAAAAGCTTTTCAGAAGAAACAACCCAAATTTGTTTAATTAAATAAACACGATCCATTTAACGTAGGAAGGTTCAACTTCAAGATTTTTATTAAGAATTATTATTTTTTAATTCATCGAAAGCTTATGGACTTTCCAACCATAAAATAAGAAATAATTCTCTTCTATTACATCATCACCAAAAAAAAATTAGAATTACTAAATCTTAAATTTGCTTCACTAGAATCTAACCGAATACACAGCTGTTAAAACTACCCTTTGGCTTCCTGTAAGTGAGAAGAGGTGAGATATTCACATGAGGAAGGATGCGATGAAGACAGTCCAGTTATTAGAGTGTTTCAAGAGAGAACATTCGTTGCTAGTTGCGATTCAAAAAGTGAAATAAGCGAACCGTTTAAGTCTCTTTAATCTGTACACGTCTAGAACACAAGGAGATAAAGAAAAGAATTTCTTGGAGCGAAGAGGAAGGTTGAGTAACAAGTAAGATTGGAGACGGGTGGCCTTGACTAGGAGGGTAGATAGAGATGAGCAAAAGCAATTGAAAGAATGTTTATGCAATTTGATTTCGTTTTTAAAGAACAAAGGTGGATAAGTTTCTTATTTAAATTAGCTGCCTGAGTAGCATAAAACAGAAACACCACATTCCAGGAAACGCACGGCTAATTCCATCAAAAGAGACCAGGTAAGCTTAAATTTAAAAGTAAGAAGATATGTTCTTTAATTTGGACGTCATAGTTTCCAGTACCACCATTGATACGAAAGAGGAGATGCTCATTAAGTTGAGAGGCCAATATCAGCACAGCACATTGCCAAAACAATCAAATCCCTACTGCAGAACATAAGAACACTGCAGAATAATTAAAGAGCTCGCACAACCAACTAAAAAACCAGAAGCCTAATCATGCATTCAAGCACATGATTTCAGATTAACCACATAATCACAACTTGCTAATTGTAATAGGCTTTTTATTATTATTACATCACACGCAAATGAATTGTGCAGACACAGAAAAGATTAATTTCTATTTACATTTACATGGGAAGTGTTTTTCAGGGTGGCAGTGCCTGCCCACATGCGACAGTCCATAGTTATGGCTCCAGATAAATGACTTCTGCTTGGATTGAGGCTCGGCGAAAACGAAGCAATTCTTTTACCAACTCCCATCCTCCCTCGTTGGAAGCAGGTTTAACAGTCATCGTCTCGAGCACAGGAGAGTTTGAAAGCAGAAACTTAATGCAATCGAGTTCAGATCTAATGCCAGAGATGCCAACTATTTTTACTAGTCGCAGTTGGCCAAATAGGCACTTCCAATGGTCATCTTTCCAGAAATCAGTTACTGGTCCCACAGAAGCTTGTTCCTCTGGGCGAGCCTACATGGATTCTAGGATATCAGAAAATCGTAATATCCCCAAGCAATACTTTTTTCTCCTCTTTTATTTATTTATTTATTTTTATTTTCGCCTGACATGATGATGCAATCAACATAAAATTTCAAATAAGCACATAAGAGGTCACTTACCAACATCTCTATTTCTTGCAAATTGGGGCAGCTTCTCAAGAGGCATAAGGCAGCTGAATTCTCCTCAAAGTCATTGAAATTTATGCGTATAGAAAGGTAGTTCAGATCAATGCATGGTTTTGGAAACTTGCTTGGAACTTTACCGATAGCCAAGTACTAGAGCAAAGAAAAGAGACAAAATGATGGAATAACCTAGAAATCTTATACTAAGGTGGCATATTTCCACTAACCCTTTCAAAGTTCAATAACTGCAGTGGTATCAGAAAAAGAGGGCAGAAGTTGTTAAATGAAATCTTAAATTATCAGACTTTTAACATTATAAGTATTGAAAACAAACACATTTATGCAGTTCAAAAACAATTGAATTACTTCAGATACTCTGTATAATTCAATGAATTCATTAACATTTCAAGGGAGACTGACGTACTATAAATGATATTGGTGGAGATATTACCTTAAGAAAGTAACTCTGAATCTCAAGCCTTCGAATATGGGGCAGATTAACAAAAAACCTGACCAATCTACTAGAACTCCCATGAGACACAATCTGGTCATTTTTGACTCTCACATACAATCCAATGGAAACCAGAGTCAATAGAAAAGTATTCTCGAAACTAACATCATCGAAAACACCTCCAACATCAAAAAATTGAAGATTTGGAGCATTGATGTGAAGATGAGTAAAACCATCAAAGTTCATCAATGTCAACCTCTCAAGCAGAGCACAGCTAGAAATTAGATTCTCAAACACCTCCTGTGCCAGGGTAACATGCTGAAGGTCAAGGCTCTTCAAATTCCGGAATCCTTTGAAAGCCAAAGGAGGTTTTAGCAAACAATTAAATAACTCCAAATGAATCAAGTTCTCAAACGAGAACAAACAAGAAGGCAACTTATACCGCTGGCCTTTCCATATCTCAAGTACAAATTCTTTGGTAGAACGTCTCGATAAATGAAGAATCCATCGATCAATATCACTAAGACCTAAAAGGTCACGGTGAGATAGTTTGAACTTGTAAATTGGGCCATTGTGAAGTAAAAGCACATGATCGATAATATTGACAAGCTTATTCTTGACAACAGTTTGATCTTGTGAATTTGTCGAGATGCATTGAGTATCAAACACGAGATGAGGAATTTGAGACCATTTATACCTCCACTTTCTTGATAAAGCACTAGTTCTCACTGCATCCCTAATTGGCAAAAGTGATAAAATTTGGTCTAAAACATGCCCAGGTAAGCTGCTGATTCTATCCAACTCCGTGTCTATTTCACATGGGAACTTGGGTGGTTCTCGTTGCTTCTAATATATTTGGGGAAAAAAAAAACAAAAAAACAAATTCAGGCATCAAGAACCAGTGAATGTTAACGAGAATTTTATACAATCACAAGGGTAGGAGCAACTTACAACATTACTCATGTTAAAGATAGGTTTTCTGAAGGACAGTGCCAAACCCAACAAAATCTGATTCACCAACGAAGGGAAGATGAGAACTAAAATGGGTATTTAGGGTTTAAAACCTTGGAGGCAAAATGAATGATAGCGCAATAAAGAAGAGAATTTGTGGGTTTTTAGAATATAAAACGGAACTGGTTTGTGTTCCACAACGAATTGAATCGAATTATTTTGATGACTCAACTGAAGGAGGAGGAGCAGCAGCAATTTCAATGGAACCGAAAAGGAGAGAGCAAAGATGCAACAGTGCCGAGGTCTTCCTGTAATCCTATGCGGAAATTTCTCGAACTTCGTTGTCACAAGACAAAGTTAAACTTGGAAAATAAGAATCATTCCGTTGCCGGGATTTGAAGACACACTGGGTGGAAGCCAGGTGTGCTAAACCGTACTGGAAAAACAACGGATAAATACGTACTGTAAATAAACAACAACATCTAAATCTAACCATACGCCTTAAGCATCTTCGTTTTGCGTTCACTACTACATAACTTTACCTTTGGATTCTGAAAACCATTAAAAAAAAATAGTTTTGTATGTCCTTTAATACAATCAAAGCCCAATTTCCAGAAAACTTATTGGGTCTATATAACCGAGGCAAAATATCTGGGCTCAAACAAACAAACAAACCCAGCCTATAAAATCTCTGGAAGGCCAAGGACCTACATGGGCCTAACTCTACGTGCTAAACTTCCTCAGCACGGCCGAGCACTAAGGGCCCCTTGTCTTGGTGGTGTTCTTTTTTTATTATTTTTTTCCAAACCAACGACTTGTAGATGAGAAGGGAGGACGTCAATGTCAGCTGTGCATGTATAAGCTTATATGTCTAAACAATTTAAAGCAAAGACGAGGATTTTGCTTTGGTTGTTTCTTGCGTCGTTTGCCTTTTTGATTTTAATGTTAATTTGCGCAGGTGAAGTTATATAAATCAACCAAAACACAAAGACTAGTCTTGTATGTTTAGCCAGATTTGAAAGCCGTGCGTCTTTGGGAAATATTTAGCAATTTCCCATCCGCACGTTTTCACGTCTAAATTAAGTTAAATTCAACACGACAAATGGGATTTCATACTTCTAGCATTGCTCTTTCTCCAATTAATGACACAAAATTTTGAACGACCTCCTTCCCGAGCAGCTGCAATGATGGATCCCTATGACAAAACATTATATTGTGGATTACGTTTCTTTCAATCTTGTACTAATACGATGCATCATGTTACTTAAATCTTGACTTTTGAATTATAATATAGATGGTTATGATTGTTTTATACATTTATTGACTTTAAAAATAATTAAAGTTGCTAAATAAAAAGTTTCTCATAAATCCGTCGCTATATAAAAACTTTCCCTTTAAATCTAACTTACACCACAAAATTTTTTAAAAAATAGCAACGGATTATTCCATCACTATTTCCCATAAATCCATCGCTAAATGAATTTAACGATAGATTAGAAACAAAATTCAATTCGTCGCTAAAGTGATGATAGCTATTTTTGGCGAAGAAATTTTTTTTTCATTGCTATTTAGCAATTGATTTTCCATCGTTATTTTATTAATATCCCGTCGCTAAATGATTCAAAACCAATCATCTCTAACATCTCGTATCAGTCACTAACCATCGCTATTTTCACTTATTTCCATTGTAAGATCGCTATTTTTTAGTCGCTACTATCATTGCAATTTCATCGCTATTTAGCGACTAAGTATCATCCATCGTTAATCATCATCTCTATTCCATCACTATTTTTATTTTTTTTAATGAATTATCATTTATTGGTAATTATAACAACAAATAAATATAAACAACTTCTTATTAAAACACGCTATATTATTAAATAAAATTAAAATTATATAAAATAAAATAAAATAAATATATAAATGCATTAAGATGTACAAAAATATTAAAAAAAAACAAGAAATCTAGTCCTCACTATCACTATCTTCTACATCATCTTCTTGTCGTTAGCTCGTTGAGAGGAACAACTAATTGCTAGGTTGTGGAAGGGTCATGTCTATAAATTATTATAAATTAAAAAAAAAATCAACACGTCTAAAACGCACAATAAACATGAAAAAAAAAACTTTCATTCATGATCAAAGCTCATTATTTTATTTCTTCATTTCTAAGGCAACACAAAATTATTTAATTAATAATTTTTTTAAACATCTAATAAAATTTTGACAGAGTCTCCCTTGTAAATTGCATATTTTTCAATTAATAAATACTCTAAATTATCACATAAACATTACGCACACCAAGATAAAAATTAAATTACAAACTCTTCCTTCTAGCTCTATCGCGAGTATTGAATTAACTTTATTTCTCCTCAATTCCAGAAGTCTTCAACCCTGCGGGTTCAATACATAACGACGTATCTCAACATAATTTAATAATTATATATGAAATAATTAGACTAATTAATTCTAATTTTAGCTAATTAATTTTAAAATAAAAATAAATTAACAAGCATTATAATAAATAAAGTTATAATTCAACCAATTTAACACAATTAATCTAATTAAGTAATTAACTAATCTAATTAATTAATTAACTAAACATAAATCAAATCAACTTAATAAATCCTAATTCTAATCGAATTAAATTTAAAATAATAATTAAATTAATTAAAAAAATTTATATTTAATTAATGAAATTACAATTAATTGAAAAATTTATTCTAATCCAACTAAATAAAAAAATTTAACATAATTAATTAATTAACTAAACATAATTCAAATTGACTTAATTAATTATAATTCTAACAAATTAAATTTAAAATAACATTTAAATTAACTTAATTAACAAAAAATTTACATTTAATTAACAAATTAAAAATTAAGTAACAAATTTATTCTAATCCAACCAATTAAACATAATTAACCTAATTAATTAATTAATCGAACATAAATCAAATTAAATTAATTAATTCTAGTTTTAACCAAATTAAATTCAAAATAAAAATTAATTTAATTTAATTAACAAACATTTTACATTTATTTAACCAAACATTAATAAAATAAACTTAATTAATTATAAATTAATTATGATTAACTTTAAATAATATTTAATTAATAAATTAACCTAATAATTAAAAAATTCAATAAATTAATTAACAAATTAAAAATAATAATAATTTAACAAATAAATCAATAAACTAACAATTAAAATATACACACAATTATAAATCAACCAATTATACTTATAAATAACCTAAAGATTACAACAAATTACTAACATCAATTAAGAAAATAAAAGAGATGAAAAACTAACCTAATTCGGGGGAAATTGGTCAAAATGAAGGAAGAAAATATATATTGAGTTTTTTGGGAGAAACGGGTTTGAAGAGGTTGCACATTATGAGAGTTTTGTGGAGTATTTGAGGGGTTAGGAGAGAGGCGGCAGCCTTAGGAAGAAAGAGAAATGGAGGAAAATGAGGGGTGAGGGATTCTTCATGGGTTTTAAAGAAACCCAAATCAACGATGAGAATGATTCTATTGCTGATTCGTCGCTATTTAACAACACATATTAGTGTCCATCGTTAAATAGCAACATTTGGTGCACCTTAGAATTTTCAAAAGCTGTCCAAAAATTCCATATTTAGCTATGGAATACTTTCGTTGCTAAATAGTGATCGTTTAGCAACAAATTGCTCGTTGCTAAAAGAAAAAAAAATTAGCGACGGTATTAATAACCTATTGCTATTTTCTATAGCTAATCCATCGATAAAGTCCCAAGTAGTTTTTTGCATTATATTTAGCGACAAAAATTGATGCATTGTTAATAATTAGTCACAAATTTGGTTATTCCATCGTTAAAGGTAACGAAGCCAATCCGACACTATTTAATTACTATTTAGCAATGGTTTAACATTCATTGCTAAAATTCATCGCTATTTAACAAATTTCTTATAGTGTTATTATGAAACTTAAGAAACATTCTAAATTTATCTAATCTCTCTTTATTTTTTTTATTCTAATAAAAAAAATAATTGCTTAACTTGCTTTTTTTTTTATTGATGGAAAAGTTAAAAATAATCACCATCTTAAAGATTTATCAATAAAAAAAATTCTTTTTATGATTAGTTCAATTTTTTTTTTATGCTTTCCCATAAAAAATTTCCTTATCTTTATCTTACTATCTTATATGTTTGTACAATGAAAGTCTTATAACTCTGAAATATTATTTAAATTTTATAATTTATTATAGTTTTACTTTGATCCGTTAATTGAACTCTCTTTTTTTTTTTTCTACATCCTAATTTTATTGATTTTGTGTTAAAAAAAAAAAAGAAAAAGAAATTCACTAATAGAGTAATTGAAAAAGAGATTAGAGATACAAGGTTTCATAAAATATTCATTAATGTTGGCAGTATATAAAAGGAAATATATTTACTTGAAATATAAAAAGAAGTAGATTTAGATCAATAAATTATGAGTTCGGTGATAAACGATTTAGTTTTTACGTAAATTTTCCACCAATATGTAGGGTTCAAATTCTGAAATGGCACGGGTTAAGAGATATTCTTCAATTTGGGATGCAAATATCTAGAGAAAAAAATAGATTCGATACGAAAATCTTTTCAAAAAAATTTAATATTTCATTTAATTTAAACGGTTAAGATTAAATTTACATGATACATGATATTCGCATCACTTTAAGATATTTTATCAAATGCGAGTGGCCATTGACATTTAAAAATTAAGTCGTGCACCAGCTTCCTTTGCGCTAAGTTCTTTTGATACCTTGTTAATCGAGTAATTTTATAATACATCGGGGAGTAACTAGTGGCATACCGGGGGTAACTAGTTACTCCATTGACCTACTTTGAAGAGAGAGATAGACATAAAAAAGAGAGAGAAAATAAAAAAATTTGAGCGAAGTGGAAATCTTCTTATCACTTTTGATGGGTATGGATGTGATTTCATATTTTTTATGTGTCTATCTCTCTTCTCAAAGTGGGCTCATAGAAGTAACTATCGTACATACTAGCTGAGTTACTCCCGATGTATTATAAAATTTATCAATTAATCAACATTCACCAGATTCATTAGCTACGTGATTGTATAGTATGTGGACCATGTGGTAAACAAAATGTGGTCCTTTTCAAGTTGATATAACTTGCTTCTATAGTCAATAATGCCTAACCTAACATTTTGAGAAATTTGTGATCAAATAAGAGAAGACATTCCGAAGATTTGAGATGCTAATTGACTTTTTATAATTTCCATATCTTCACCGCCAAAAGGCCAGAGTTTCTTCTCATATATATATAATTTCTCGTTTTACGTACAAGTCAAATGAGCCAGCTAGTTGTCCTTCTCTCCATCTGCTGATCTTCTTTCAAAAAATTTCTGCGTTTTGTTCAGACGCTGCATGGGCTTTACAACCTAAGAAACAGCTGCCTGCGGTCTGGTGGATCACGAAAAAGAAAGAAAATGGGAAATTGCAACGCAACTCTTGCTTTTAAAAGGTATGCATCAAGTTCTCTTAGCTTCAGTTTTTCTTTCTCGTCTAATTCTACCATGAGAAGTTGTTCTCGTTTGTAATAGATCGAAAAGATGTACTTATGAATCGGTATGCTTAATCTGTATGTATCAGATCTAAATTGACGAGGAAGCAAATGGACTCCGTGAATCATACTCCTCATCATGAAGGAATAAAGACTGTAAAGGTGGATAAGGTTTGCGACTTCTCTGGAAATTCAGACCTTTGCATTTGCATAGTGACCTGGAACATGAATGGACAGGTAAAATCCCTGAATCAATTGATCATGCATATATTTCTTCACACTTGAGAAATATATATATATATAGTTCTTATAATTAAGCTCCTCGTTAATAATTTTCTGTGAATTATTCGTATTGCTTTAATTAGGTGGTTTATGAAGACTTGGTGGAGCTGGTTGGGAGCAACTCCAAGTCTGATCTACTAGTGGTAGGTCTGCAAGAGGTGCCTCGGAAAAACATTGCACAATTATTGCAAACAGCACTTCTGGATTCTCATGTGTAAGCCAACGCACACCCAGCTTTTCCTTCTCTCTTCTTCTAAACTTTCATTAATTTTGTGCTCTTCAGCATACTCTTGCAATATGTGGATAGAGAGCATCAAGACCACAAAATAAATATATGGAGTATTTAAAATGGTAAAACCATAGATATTATTTATGGCTCTCAATTTTTCTGAATTTTTGTGGAGGCTTGTGGCGATGTACATTCTTTTAAATTTCTTTTTTTGCTCAAATAAAGATGTGGGCATTTCATCCAAATCACGTGTCACCATCCAAATGCATGATTACCATTCCGTTTCCAGTAGCCCATTACTAGCCCAAATTACCGTATATGGATGGGCACAAAATCTATTTGTTTCATGCCATTAATGACTTGTTACATTCATCAGAGTTAGTAGTGTTTGATCCAGTCTGTCAAATGGTATGCAAATCCAAAATCCTATTGACATCCCAACAATTCAATAAGGGATTAGATTGTCAATCTATTGATAGTGACATTTACATGATCACGCCAAACCTATAACAACACAATATTATACGGATCTGCTTATCGTTAAAATAAAAAAGAAAAAACTAGTTAACAGCGTTTTATGCATGTGGAAAATCACTAGGAGTTTATTTATTATATAGGTTCATCATGTACTTTTTTTTTATTTTGAGTGAAACTTTTACTCTTCTAAATTTATTATTTCAAACATTTTATTATAATAGCATCGGTAAGTGATTTATACATACTATTATAAAATAAAAAATCTTTCGACTACATGTTAATCATTGACTGATGAGATTATAATAAAGAATCTGAAATAGGGGTGATCATTCGATTTTTCAATTTTAATTTTTTTTTATTTTCGATTAACCAAAACAAAAATTGAAACCGAACCGAATTGAAATTCAGTTTTTCGGTTAAAAATTGAATTTTTCAGTTCGGTTTTTTTTTATTTTTGATTAAAACTCCCTTTTTTTTTGCATTTTTTCTTCTAAAAAAGTAATTAATTGCTTTTTGTCACCAATTTTAGTTCCAACAAACATGATTGTAGCTGATTCAGAACTATTAAAAGTTAGAGAAATAACTCTTTTTATATATACAAAAAAATGAAAAAAAAATAGATAGATTATATTTAAGATATTTATAGAATAGCTAATACTATTTCTAATAATTATAACAATAGTGTAACTGAGTTGGAAATTTCTTGAAATTACTAGGAAAATAAATTTAATTTTAATTTGTTATGCAAAAACTGGTAAAAAATACTATGATATTTAAAACAATACACACACACGCATGCATCTGTATGTTTTGAAATGCATGCCGAAGCTTAGAAAGAGAATACAAAACAATTTATGAACACATGCATTTATGTGTTTTGAAAGGCATGGGAAAAATTATGAAAAAAACACCAATTTGGTTTTCGGTGGAAACCGTTATTTTTTAAACCGAACCAAACTGAAATAATTTTGATTTTCTGTTTTGGTTTTTTTTTTTCAAATTTTTATATAAAACCGAATCAAAATTATTAATTCGGTTTGGTTTGGTTCAGCTTTTTAGTTTTAACTCGAACAGATCCTCATCGCTAATCTGAAGCAATAAATCTTGAAAAGCAAAGGGTTTTAATTAAGTCAAAAAACAATAGAGAATTTCAATAAAAAAAAAAGAAACCAAATGGATATAAATGTAGAAAAAACCTTTATTATATGTTCAAACTATCCCAAGTACTTTACTGCGATAAATCTTTAATTTTTCATCAATAGGATCGTTATTAATTTGTGATGAAACTATTGCACTAAGAAAAACCTGCTTTGAAATGAAGCCTGCTGGGAAAGGCAATCATGCAATCTCTTCAGCTATATGTATTTGGACCTCAGAACTCGGGGCTTTTCATTAAAGGTAAGAAGTGTAATTTGATTTCCAAGGTTGAAATTACTTTCTCTTTATCTCTCCTGTATCTCCTGAATTTTTATTTTGACTCACTTGGATCAGAATTGAAGGTGGACAAGCATTCTGTTGGTGGGTGTGGAGGATTAATAAGGAGAAAGAAAGGAGCTGTGGCAATCTGCCTCAACTACAATGGCATCCGAATCGTGTTCATTTCTTGCCATCTTTCTGGTACAAGCTCAATTTCATTAATACGTTCCTCATCTAAATTTATGCTCCTCCCAGTACACACATAGGCCGAGCCCTCTGCTCAAACTTTTTTCCTTTTTTTTCCCTCGAAAATTCTTGCATATATTTCAATTATCTTACAATTACTGTTGATGAATTTTGTTCCTTGATGTATGTGTCATCTGGACTGCTGTCATACATGCAGCTCATGCTCGTAATGTGGAAGAGAGAAATTCTCAATTCAGACACATATATCACAACCTTTTCTCCAAGTATTGGAATCCTTATGGTAGGCCTGCTCAAGTTACAGTATGCTTAGGAGATCTTAATTACAGAATACAGGGAATGGATACGCATCCAGTCAGAAATTTAATACAAAGAAACCTTCACGGAGTAAGTTAACGTGAATTATTATATGTTATGCATCGAAATTTGATCACATCATCCTTGTACATGTTACACATGCTTCCATTTCCCAACATTTTATCAAAAAATTATACCAAATTTTTCGTATTGATTAAAACTGTCTGATTTGGTTGTATAATGGATCGATCCTTGTATTATTATTGATAACATATTAAAATCCTTTTATTGCGATTAGTTTAATCCATATACGAACCTCTTATTATTCATATAATAGTTTATAGAAAACGCAGGCATGTTTAGTTCATTCGAAACTTTTGTTACGCTTTTTTACGATTGATCATGCAGATGCTCACCAGCAAAGATCAACTTTTACAAGAAGCTGAGCGAGGACAGGTGTTTGATGGATACTGCGAAGGGACATTGACATTTAAACCAACATACAAGTACGACGTTGGAAGCAGCAATTACGATACAAGTTCTAAGGTTACCGAATGTCTTCTCATTTTAGTTGGTTCCTTGACTTGATGGTTGTGGATTAGTACATAAATTTGGTTCTCTTGCATATATTTCACAGGTGCGAGTCCCATCATGGACAGATCGGATCTTGTTCAAGATTCATGACGTGGAGAACATCAGTGCAAGTTTGCATTCTTACGAGTCAATTGATGATATCCACAGTTCAGATCACAAGCCAGTGAAAGCTCACCTCTGCTTGAAAGTTAATGAACAGCCATAACCTGCCAATAGAAATCATTTATTTGTCTTTTCTTTGTGATATCAGCTTGTGTAAATTTTCGTGTCATCCCACATGCGCAATCGAGTCAAATTGGCTCACCTCTGTTTTTAGTTTAGTTTTTTTCTTTCCTTTTCTTCTTTAACTGAAGGCTGCACCGGTTTTGGACCATACATTGGGATAATTCTCTTTTATTCTGTCTTTCCACCTTTTCCAAAATTTGAAAGTAAAACCTCCGAACGGAAATATCAAACAGTAATTGTTGGGCTGTCCCCTCGAGAGAATGGAATGAAGCGCTTAGCTGTTAGCTATCAAATATAGTGCTCAGACGATGCTCCAGCTTTCCGAAAACACCGACCGACCAAATCCATCCATAAATGCTACTTTACTGGTATATGATTTGGAAAAGGTATTTTAATTCGTTTCACCTAAAGCCATCGTTGCCGACATTGACTAAATTGCCACCAAGACATTTCAAATTGGATCACCTGCTTGACCAAATTTGAAAACTGGGTCATTCGAACTGGCGACATGCACGAGATGCAGTTTAATTATATGAAAGTTGCGTCTCTTTTTATTTCTATATATCGTTTAAATTTCCTTTATAATATATGCAAAAATATTCCCCTTTCATTTCTATAGTCCAGAAAAATGAAAAATGCAAACAATATGGACGAGTTTATCGTTTTGACGGATATACGAAAAGATAGACATGCTAAAAAAAAGAGCTGCAGAAGTTGCACGAGTACAAAGTCAAATACTTAATAAGGGGTAAAAAAATGTGATAGTGCTATAATTGTTTTGGAAGTTAAAAATAATAATAATAAAATAAAAGGTACCATCCGTACCTTTTGTTTTGAGAAAAGTAACGTTGTTTTATTTGAACGTCCAAATAATACAACCCAACAAAATAGGGATTTTGATGGACTTTGCTAGCCACTATATTGCTAGGAATGAGATCACAGGTTCTGTCTATATCCAGTAAAAATCTTTTTTTTTTTTTTTCAAAACATCGAGTTGAGAGATGATTAGTAACCAGAAATTTTATAATAAACTATATGTAATTAGTGCTGTATATAGTAATTATTTTATAAATTTACTTTAAGGACAGAGATAGACATAAAAAAAATTACATCCATATCAATTTCAAATAATAAGAAGATTTCATATGCTGTTCAAATTTTTTATTTTCTCTCTCTCATTTCTTTTTTTTTTATGCCCATTTCTCTCTTCAAAGTAAGCCCATAGAATAACTTCTATACATACTACTAGTTACTTATGATGTATATAAAATTTCTCATTAATAACAATAACAAAATTTTAAAATGCTTAAAGAAGAATTAACATACTTCATTTAAAAAAAAAAACATAAAGAGAGAGATAATTAAAAAAACTGATTTTTTATTTTTTATGGATTCAAACATTATATATATATATATCAATCTCTTTTTAAAAATAAACTTATAAATTAAATATTGTTACTTACTCATAGGGTATTTTAAAATCGTCTAAAAACTATCATGGTAAACATGTAATATATTGACATCATATTTTTATGTGGGTGATAGTTGTTAAAAAAAAAGGGTCTAATTACTTTTATGTGCGCAAGTAATTGTAAAAAGAAAAGTCAAATACTCTCTCATCAAATCGGAACATTTATGAAAGTTTGATTATCGAATTGCATATAGTTACAACTGGGTGGAACATATGCAATATAAATGATGCTATTTATGGAAGAAACTATATGCAAGTAATCTCATGAGTTGACCTAACATCTAAAGAGTTTATATATATATTAAAGTATTTTTGAGTTAATTTTCATATAAATCAAAATTAAATATATTATTTTCTAAATTAAATTAATGTCAAAACATATCTAACATTTAATTTATTACTGAATTGTTTTTTAAACTAAACTAACACAATCTTAATATCACTAAAAAATAATCATAACTAGTTATTAATGGATAATAAGATTTAAAGATGACCAGACCTAAATAATTCTCTGACTATTAAATTATGTCCCTTGATGATTGTAGAGGAAGATTTGTTTTCTTTCTTAATTTTTTGAATTCAATGTCGTTAAAGTAATTATCTAGAAAATTTATTAATTTTTTTTAATGCACCATCTCAATTTGCATAATACATTTTTAAAATTTTTTTAAAATAAACTTGATCTCAATTGATGTAAATTATTTTAAAAATATTCTACTGTTGAACCAAAAGTAAAAAAAATTGAATATGCAAGTAAAAACCAATTTCATTTTGCCTTTACGTGTGTGTGTGTTTGGGTGGGCGCGGGGGGCGGGGCAGAATAGGTCTTTTTAACTAGTGGTTTAAACGCGATAAAACCACAAGATGCTACTGATGATTTTACAATCACGCATTGAGAAATTTATTGAATTTTAAACTTAAGTCATGCAGTTTGCTTTACAGTTGATATCCCCCATTATTTTGTCATCCTCACGAATTTTGTATTCCGTATGAAAAAACAAAAACAGATTCCATCTGAAAATAATAATAATAATATTTGCATATAATTCCGCCTCTTGTACTTGATTGTTAGACCATATCCCAAGCTTCATCTTTAACGCTTTGAAATGGACTTCGATATATTTTCCACCTTTTTCTTTAAAAAACTCCTTTTATTTTCTCGAAAAGAAAACACTTTTTTTTATTGAAAAAGAAGAAGAAGAACATATTCTCTTCATATCTTACACCAAGAAGTCGGTATTTTTATCAGATTCTATCCTTTTTTTCCCTCTTTTGTTCACTTTTTATTTTTTATTTTTTTCCTTTATTGTGCTTTGTCACACATATTCTGTTCTCACAACCTTAATAATGTCAACCTGTTAAAACTATTGTGGCACTTTAAAGTTTGGCAAAACTGTAAACCCGTGTAACTCGCGTCAACGAGACAATGTAAGCCAACTAAGATAAAAGTATCTTAAAACTCAAACAATCATGGCCTTTACGCTGTTGTCAAAGAACTTTTTTTTTTTTTTCCCGGTTGCGGTCTTCTTGTTGAAGAATTAGCAAGGACCCCACATGCAAATATATGTTCTGCAAATCAAATCATAGTAGTAAATTTTGAATCTTTGCTAGATTATCCCAATTGGGTTTCGATGATTCTTCGTCAATCATCGAACTCCTTTGGATTATTAACAAAAATCTAAATAAACCCAACACGTTTTGTTTCTTTGTCCAAATTTGACTTTGAAATTGCGTACAATTCAAGCAGTTCTCAATTCTTAGCGTATCTGTCTTACATATTTCTTGACAGTGCTATCTTGAATTCATTCTTTAAGTTCCAAATCTTTTGTACATAATTATTTCCTGTTCATTGGTTTTCACAAAAGAGACAGAAAAAGACAGAGAGAGATAGAAAGGGCGTTGTTAGCAGCAAGAGAATACCTTTTTCTTTTGTAGACTGCTAATGTTGTTGCTTTTTGAGCAAATTGGGATCTAATCTGATCTGGGTTTTTCTGCTTCAGCTGTTTTTTTGTTAGAGGTGAGTCATTCTTCCACTATTTGATTCTTTATTTACTTTTCTTTTTTCTTTCTCTCTAGAAACTGAAATCAAAAGGTTATCTGTCATGAATTTGATGGGCCTGTTGAGCTGGAAGAATCAATCTTTTTGTCATCCCTCTCTCTCTTATATTGATTTGAGTTGGGGGCATTGGGCACTCTTGATGTTCGTTTACATATTTTGTAGCTGAAACATTCCGGGGTATTACAATGCCTGGTTGGTGATTTTGCTTGATATAGCTAATTCATGTTTTTGCACTGGTTGTTGAATAGGAAGGCAATATGGTTATAGAGTTTGTTATCCTAGTATTGAAAGTGAGTTTCGTAGAAACATATAATCAGTAGATTGGATGGATGCTTAGCTGCTCTTATTAAATATTAGTATTGCTTGCCATGTAGAATGTAAACCAAGTTTGAAGCTTTCATGCCAAGTTCGAAATTTGCTGCAAGCTTAGGTTTTTTCTACCTCTTTCTTATGAACAATACACATTTCTCACACACACAGAGGGGAAAAAAATAGAATTTCAGCAGTTGCATGTCATGCCATTATAATTGTGTGAAATGCTTTATACTGGCTGGTAATTGCTAAGCCTGCTGCGTTTTGTGTGATAGTTTTTGGTTCCTTCGCTTGACTGGTTGCTTTATTTTGCAGTTAAGAAATTTGTTGATAATGAGCAAATAACCATACACGTTATGGGTTGGCTTAGCAAGATTTTTAAAGGGTCAAGTCATAGTATTTCAGAAGGGCATTTTCATGGGAATTATGGACAGGATGCTCACTATAATGCGCCTTCTACTTCTGGGGTATTCACTGATTTGATTCAATGTTTCTTGTTAAACCATTGCTAATTGTAGAAGGAGATGTGTAATAAAATCCTTTTCTTTTACTGGCAGTTTGTAGCCTTTACATTATATATTACCTATAGAATGTCAGTACTTGGTTGAAAATTTTGTGGTAGTTAAGTTAATCCCTGATCTGCTCTTCTCACTTTGACATTTTTCAGTTTGGATATTGAATGTAGGTAGCATGGTTGGAGCAGGAAAATGAGGATATAGATCGTGCTATTGCATTATCTCTTTTAGAGGACAGTCATAATGGAAAAAATGTCATTGGTGAGTAATATTGCAGTCTGATGCCATCAGCAACTCTCAATGGTTCTCTCACTACACGCACACTGTTATTCCTATACTTTGTTTGATCCATCTTCTGGGTTCATTTACCAATAGCTTTTCTCTGTTATTTGATTTTCTGAATCTGTTTATTTATTTTTTCTTCGTCCAGTGTAAGTATAAAAACCAATTATTTTGTAGTATCAATATTGCCTTTCAGCTCTGTTTTATTCATTCTCTACATATCTTACGATCCAATACAGCACAGCTTAATAATGAGTTTCTCAAATTAATTGATAGATAATGAGATTCAAGTGAAAGAAGATGAACAACTTGCCAAAGCTTTACAAGAAAGTTTGAACGTTGAATCTCCTCCTCGATATGGAAATGGAATCCCTCGATATGGAAATGGAATTCCATATCAAGGGAGTGCATACCAGCCTTATCCTGTTCACTTTCCAATGGGGTTCAGGTATCTTATTTCTATAGCTGATTAAGTCTGGTCCTTGATTCATTGGCAATTTTCCACACCTCAATTTTACTTTCTTGTGGTTGTTTTTAGTTTTTTTGCAAGAATTTACTTCTTTGGGCATGGCATGTGTAAAGAATTTCTTGATTTTTGGCTAGGATATGTGCTGGTTGCAATACAGAGATTGGCCAGGGAAGATTTTTAAATTGCCTCAATGCATTTTGGCATCCAGAATGTTTCCGTTGCCATGCTTGCGGCCTACCAATTTCTGATTACGAGGTGCTATAGACCCCACCATCTGTTGTTTTTCTTGAATTTTTATTTTAGTCATGTGCAATGGCTAACTTTATGTGCATTCTTTCAATATAGTTCTCTATGACTGGAAATTACCCTTATCATAAGTCCTGCTACAAGGACCGTTACCATCCAAAATGTGAAGTATGTAAGCACTTTGTAAGTATCTCTCCTTGAAATCTTCTGTTTTTTCTTCTTCTTCCAAATGTGTTTCATTCTATTGTATGAATGGCTAAGTTTCGGACAAATATATTTTCATAACTAAGAGTCTCTGGAAACTACACTGTTATAAATACTTAAACTGAAAAGTATTATCATACTAAGAATTTTTGTCCTATCTTTTTTTTTAGTTTTTTATTTTTTTAATCATAAATGAAAACTTCTCTGCTAATGTAATAGATGAGAAGTACTTGTGAATACTCTTGAAGGTCAAGCCAAAGGATACTCTTTAGAACTTTTTTTTTTTTTTTAAATGAGCCCATACTTAACTGTTTTTAAAAAACATTGATGTTTCTATGATGTTTTGCATCTTATTCTCATATTTCAGTAAAATCAATTCAAGTCTTCCAATCATACATTTATACTGTGAATGAGAATTTGCTGAGGTTATGTTACAAGTTGGAGGGAGAGAGAAAATTTGCAGAGGCTATATATATATATATATTGAAAAACATGCAATTTGTAAATGTACTTCTCTTAGAATTTCGGATATATTACTCATTTACAATTGGTGTTGCTTTTTTGAATATATATCCTTTTGACAGATTCCAACAAACCCTGCTGGTCTTATTGAATATAGGGCACATCCTTTTTGGATCCAGAAGTACTGCCCTTCTCATGAACATGATGGTACTCCTCGGTGCTGCAGCTGTGAGCGAATGGAGGTTAGTCTGGATGAATTCCTTGTGCTTGCAAAACTGTCTTTTTAAGCTTTCTAAGGAAATCCTGATGAACTGGCTTTCTGAGAAGAAATTTCAAGTATAATGAGTTTTCTTATCACATGCAGCCACGAGACACGGGATATATTGCCCTTAATGATGGCCGGAAGCTCTGTCTTGAGTGCCTGGACTCTGCAGTCATGGATACCAAGGAGTGCCAACCCCTTTATCTTGATATACAAGAATTTTATGAACGTTTAAATATGAAAGTGGAGCAGCATGTTCCACTACTCTTGGTTGAAAGACAAGCATTAAATGAAGCCCGGGATGGAGAAAAACATGTAAGGGCAAATGCACTGAAAAGATTTTATATCACCTATTTGACTCCTTTCTTTGGAAATAATTGGCTAACTAGACATTGAAGTTATTATCAATTTATTTAGTTATCTTTTTCCTAATGTTATTTGCCCATGTACAAAATCAAGCCATTATTAGTTATCCTCTGATGTATTAAGTCATAGAAACAACTGTTATCAGGGTAGTTGACATCCACTGGTCCTGAAAGGTATTCATGGCTCAAACCTCTGAAAAGGCAGTTCTACATGTAAAATAAATGCAAAGAGAAAAAGGAAAAACAAACAACCATTTGTTCCTCTGTCTACATCTCACCAAGTTATCATGGTCAAACGTTATTGAATGTTAAAAATTTGAGAAATTACTTGTTCCATGGATTTTAGTGGTCAAGTTTCTTCTCAAGCAATCTAATTTATTAAGTTGGTTTTGTTATTTCTAACTCTTGGGCAGGGCCATTACCACATGCCAGAGACTAGAGGACTTTGCCTTTCTGAGGAACAAACCATTAGCACTGTAAGAAAATTTTGGTACTTTTCATTTGCATTTTGTAATGGACATTTTAGGTACCTTTAGTTGGCACTCAGGAATTTTATATTGCAATGACCATGAATCATCAGGTATCAAGGCGGCCTAAGTTTGGAGCAGGGAACCGAGCCATGGGTATGATAACAGAGCCTTACAAACTGACGCGTCGTTGTGAGGTTACAGCAATTCTGATTTTGTATGGCCTCCCAAGGTATATCTTTAGTCACTTATCTGCTACACTTTAACCTTAGGGACCCACATAATACTGAAGTACAAGCAGATAATAGGAAACAGAAACGAATATTCATTGTTTGTATGCGAGTATGTACATACTAAATAGTTTGGCCTCAATTTATAACAGGAAGATGCAGTGAGGAACAAGAAAATAACACCTCTTTGTTTCTTTGACATGCTCCACGGATATTTAGTGGAAGATGTTTTTTCTTTATTAGTTCTGCATTGCAATCGCAGGTTTTTTATGCATGTCTTGAAATCTTGACCAATACAGGTTGCTTACTGGGTCAATCTTAGCTCATGAGATGATGCATGCATGGATGCGGCTGAAAGGTGATTTTACATCCCATGCTTTGTAAAGTCAGTTCTTCTTATCTTTCATATACTGGATCAAGATATTAAGATTTGACCTTTAAATGCTGGTTTATTTTCGTTGTAGTTTGCTTAGGAAAATGTTAATTGATGGATGGCCCGTAAATAATTTATGCAATTGCTTCTTTTAAAGTATTTGGGTCTATTTTTTAGGTCTGACATTTTCTGTTTTCCTGCAAGGTTTCCAAACTCTCAGTCAAGATGTTGAAGAGGGCATTTGCCAGGTGCTTGCACACATGTGGTTGGAATCAGAGCTCACATCTACTCCAGGCAGCAATGTTGCATCATCCTCTGCTCCCAGAACAACAAAAAAGGGTACAAGATCTCCATTTGAGAGTAAGCTTGGGGAGTTTTTCAAGCACCAAATTGAATCAGATACTTCCCCGGTGTATGGAGATGGATTTAGAGCTGGTCAGCAAGCTGTGAGGAAATATGGCCTCGAAAGGACACTTGGTCATATTCGAATGACAGGGAAGTTTCCATATTGAAGTTCTAAAGTCAAAGGTGTCTTTGCGCTATCTGACATCCCATATTGAAGCACGCACTTTGGTGCATGGAGATGGATAAAGAGCCAACGAGCAAGCAGCGAACAAATATAGCCTTTGGCTGATTAATTAAATGACAGGGAGGTCCCATATTGAATGAATTCTTGAACAGTGAGTTCTCACTATACTTTTCTATCCATAGTTAAAGCTTGGCCTTTTCCTATATGAGCCCAGGGCCGAAGCACATAGGAATTGATTCTCTAGAGAGTAGCTTCACGAGAGCTGATTTTTCTTGTAGGCTATAGTGACTTTGAATAGCTTCTTTTTTTCTTTTTTTTTGATAAATTAATAATCTTATGATAGAATTCATTCTTTCATCTGTCTTCACTTTAGAACTCAGAAATGAGAAAAGCAATTTACAGGAACAATCACGTTCATTTTGTGCATGTGAAAAAAAATTGATGGGGGATACAATGACAGAAATAGAAAACCTACATGCAAATAACTGTTACTTTGAAATGGCTTCTAATCTCCAATTAGTTTCGTCTATCGGTGGACACCATAGTTGGGCTGCTTCATCAACAGAGTCAAAGTTCAGTGTTTATGATTTCTGTACATTTGCCTGAATTTTCAACAGAATTGCTACCACTTCCTCCATACTTGGTCTCCTTGCTGGTTCTTTCATCAAGCAGGCTACGCTTGCTTTGGCCAAGCATAATGCGAAGTCTGTCCCACAACTTCCTTTTAGATCAGGATCAATATAGAAATCTAGTTCAGTTTCAGGGTTTTTATTCTCCATGATAGAGACTATTGCTGTTGAAAGTAGGATTTCCCTTCCATCCTGTGTGAAAACAGCATCTTTCCGTGTGATCAGTTCCAGCAGAATGACTCCAAAGGCATAAACATCAATCTTGGGAGTCACTCGTCCTTCCCCCACATACTCAGGCGCCATGTAGCCTCTAGTGCCCACAATATGTTTTGTCGAGGCAGGGCCTTTTGTTTCCCTTGTCGCTGCTCTTGCAAGACTGAAATTTGCAATCTTGGCTCTTAGATTGCCGTTTAATAGAACATTGCTGCTTTTTATGTCCTGGTGCACATAGGGAGGTTCGGTGAAGCAGTGAAGATAGTGAAGTCCATTAGCAACATCCAGAGCAATCTGAATTCTCTCTGTCCAATTTCCAGTTTCTTTGAACTTTTTACTGGAAAGGCATTCTCTTAGGGACCCATTTCCCATATACTCCAAAACAAGATAGAAACAGCCGAGGTTTTCGCTTACACCTTCAAGCTTAATCAAGTTGAAGTGGTTGGTCCTCTTTAAAATGTTCACTTCCTTTGTAGCATCGCCGCCCATCTTCTTAACAGCTAAGATCTCCCCACCAAACTCTCCACGATACACAGAACCCTTTATTTTACTTTCCGAACAGAAATTTTCAGTAGCTTTCCTTACTTCTTCAAATTTAAAAACTTTCAAAACTTGTTCACAGCTTGCAATTTCAACTCGAAGGTCTTCTGGCACTACCTGTTTTCTTTCGCTGCTACTCCCACAAACCTTGTCTCTTCTCTTTTTGCAAGAGAGAAAAAGGACAGCTGTAATGATACCGAGGACTAGCAAAGAGCAAGCTGCAGCGAGCCCAGCAGACTCATATAGTTTTTTCTTTGATCTTCTATTTCCAGGACTCAAAGCTGATGTAGGAGAGATGTCCGGGGTGCTGTGAATTGTAGTTTGTGAACTTGTAGGTTGAGTAGGCAGAGGTATTAGAATTGTGGTATAAGGATAAAGAGTTGGATTTTCTGCCATACCATTTGCATCAAGTATACTCTTGATGCTTACATCGAATCTGTCAGCAATATCAGGAATGTTGTCATCTGTGCTAAGAGGGTAAGTCACTATATAATTTGTTCCTCTTATGATTTGATTCATTGTGGGGCAAGCACATCGAAGTGGTACTTGCAGTTGCTGACCAGGCAACAAATGATATTCACCATGTGTATTCCAATGCTTAAGCGCGGCACAAGTAGATAACCCCTGATAAGTGTCCTTTGCTATAACATAGTAGGTTCCACGAGTAGCCGTGACCTGAATTGTAGTGTTGGCCTGATAATATTGACCAAAACAAGAACATTTTACAGGAACAATTACCTGAATGTTGGTAGGGAACTCTGATAGCCTTGTAACATTGTTGAGTCTAGCTAGCTCTTCTTGGTTTGCTGACGTGATGGCTGAGATCGAAGGCACCGAGTGAAAAGAAGGTTGAGGTTTGAAGAACAGAAAGGCCTGGCAAGATTGGTTCTGGCCATTGCAGGTGTAAAGAAATGCAGAAGATGGCCCTGTATCATCATTAGCGTTGCAGTCTAGTACTGAATTCTTCGAGTAGTTTTGTTGAGCATTGACGTATGAAGTGAGAAAGCTGAGTGTGAGCAAACTGAGCAAGAAGTTAACCATGGTGAACGTTGTTTAGGTGAGGAGGAAACAATGATGAGTAGACAAGAATTTCAGAATTGTTATTATTATGAGAATTATAATGAAGATAGATTGTTGCTAGGGCCATCAAAACAAGCGCGTTAAGGTTTAAAAAAATCCCTTGAAATCGACAAGTTCCGTTGACTTATTAAATAACAACATTCAGGATTGTCTTCTAAATCAAACCCGTGACACAAAAAATAAATTTATCTGAATTATAGCTAAATCACTTTATAAGAATGAATGTTATAAAATACACGACAGTGACCTTGACTTAGTTTTATGTGTTCCGTATTAGTATCTGTTTATTATTAAGAGAAGATCATTCTACCAAGTTTATCTTGACTCGGCATGATTATGATTACGTAAGAAGTTAATCTATGTTAGGCAGACCTTGTGTTGGCCCGTGAAACATGCCTCAGCTAGTCCCTGCACCGGCCCGCCCAACCCGGCTGGCCAAGCATCCGAATTCGAATCGCTAGATTACATTACGTCTTCTCTCAACTCTAGCTAGCATCTAACAAGCCCCTACGCCCCAGGGGAGGGTAGTGTGGGGTGTAGAATTTTTTTGAATCAAGCAATTAATCTATGCGTCATGCGCCAATCATCATCGAATAAACTGACTTGTTTATTCGTGCATAAGTGTGAATGATTCAATATAATACAGAAAGGATAAATTATTGAGTATTCCAGGTGGATTAATGGAGGATCAACTGGTAGTAATAAATATTCACTTTGCTTGGCTGGGCCTTGACATGATCAACGTTGGACCAGGTCGTAAAGTAATCTTTCCTTTCTTAATAGTGAATCAGTCAAATATTCTGCTGAGGTGAAGCACTGCAACAGGCTGCAGCAAAGTGCTAGAGAAGACCATGAGGAAACGGAAGTCGACTCGGATTTTTACATATTCAAATCCTAGGACTATGAGAGGTTTTGGTCAGACTTACGGACAAGACAGGTTTACCTCCGCGCTCCAGCGACCAGCTAATATTGAGTAGCTGTTCGGCTGTTTGCTAAGTTGTCCGGCCCAAAAGGGTCCCTAGGGGCTTCTTTTCAAATAGACTTAACTGTTCGAGGCCTGATTGAACCCTAGGAACTGGAATATGGCAGTTCCGTTTACAAACTTTTATGTTTCAATTTACGATTGTGAGTGTGATTCTTTTTTCAAAAATAGATTTTTTTTTTTTTGCTAATTTTGTATATCTTTCCTCACAAATGCTTAAGTTATTATATTATCACATTACTATAGCATCTTTATTATTTTTTGGAATTGTGAAGTTACTTAGGATGTTTGCTTGCGTTCACAAGAAGATCCTCACATCACAAAATTACGATGATTTTATCTGATATTGACATGTCCTTTTTATGAACAAAATGCAATTTTGATTTGCAAGCCGACTCCAACTTCCATTTAGGAGGATTAAATTAAAAAAAGAAAAAAGAATGAGCATGACAACATATCAATGACTAAATTGCAGCTAATCAGCTAGAGACTGGCCATGCATCTTCCTATTACTGCCATCTCCTAAGCTAAACAAGGGAAGCAAAGGACTTGAAAGTATAAGCAGATATCAACCATCTGCTGTTATAGCAATTCACGATCATAATCATCTCCTACGTCTTTAAATGCGTTTGCCCTTAGTTTCACCTCTTCTATTCATGACCACACACTGCGGTAGAGGCTAAACAAGAACAAACATATAGTGAACGCTGACCAATCAACTGCTAATAAGCAAACTGTTTCACCACACCTAAACAAGGAGAAGAAAAGAATATTGCAGATGCAATTTCAACACACGGGATTTAATAGTTGGTTTCCTGTGCAAATTAGATTTCGTGAGAAAATAATTATCAAGAACACAAACACAGCACACTAAATTTACATGGAAAAAACTCTATCCAGCATTTCCTAATAGGATGGAGCTGATGTTTTGTACTATATATATCCTGTATATTTTTAAAGCTATGTCAATAAAACCTATCTGTTAAACTAGACTTTGTTAACTTGTTCTCACTGTTTTCCTTTTAAATTACCTCTAGCTGGCTATTTTCTTGAGCTATTTACAGCCAAGACTGATAACCAATTCCCCCACAGAATCTTTGTGTCCAAAAGACATCAGGAGGCTGGATATTTGTAGAGGGTAACTCCTAATGGATGGCCTTCAAAGTGAGTTGCTAGCCCCTTAGCAGCTAAGTTCGCTTCTCCTATCAATATGTTCAACTTTGCAATCCCACTTGTGTTTGATCGGATTAATGCAGCAGTTAATGAGTTCTCTACTGGGATCAAATGCATTGGGGGCTCTCTTTAGAGACTCTACTGCCTCACGAGAATCAGATTTCACCAACACTTTCCTAATTCCACCTTCCGATGCAAGCATTAAGCCCTCAAACATAGCCCGCAACTCTGATGACATGAAGCTCCTTTGCTTCCCCAGATTGAGCGTGAAGCCTAAAATCCAGTTTCCAGATTCATCGTTTATGATTCCAGCAACACCTGGATTTCCCTTCGAAACCCCATGTTACGAATTGTTATTTTTCAATTGTAGTTGGGTATGATTAGAAGAGATAATTGCTGGCTATTGCTGATGTGGCATACTATAACTAATTAGCTGAGGTGGCAGGTTAGTTAGTTAGCTATTAACAATAAATGCGTAACGGAATGTTTTTTGAATTCATTCAGTCAAAATCACAAAAGGAGTTAATCCTGAAATCTCTCTCTCGACTTTCTCCTTCTTCCTCCCCAGATTTCTTCTTCAATTCTTCTTTGTTAAGTAAAGTACTTAACACCCCAACCATATTTAGCCTGATCCCATCATCTGGACTCTGGAGATGGAAGCCGGGATACCAATGCGCCCTCCCTTGGTGATTTGGTACTCAGTGCAGGACTGAAATCCTGTTCAAGATGATTGGAATTTTGTGATTCAGTTTTGACCTCCATGGGGTAAGATTTAAGATAGCTATCTCCATCTCCATTCACCTATTCAAGTGCGTTCTCTCCTGTAGTGTGTTACTGAATTTCAGCTTTGAGGAGACTCCAAATCCTGGGGGAATATCTGCATCGTCCATAACATCAGATGACTTTCCAAGACAGCTTTGCAAGGGATCCACAGATGCCATATCACCACTGATCTTCTCGGCAACTAAATGGTGAGCTTGTTCAAGATGATCAGAATTTTGCGCTTCAGTTTTAACCTCCATGGGGTAAGATTTAAGATATCTATATCCATCTCCATTCACCTTCTCAGGTGCGTTCTCCTGTAGTATGTTACTGAATTTCAGCTTTGAGTACTCTCCAAATCCTGGGGGAATATCTGCACCGTCCATAGCATCAGATGACTTTCTAAGACAGCTCTGCAAGGGATCCACAGATGCCATATCACCACTGATCTTCTCGGCAACTAAGTGGTGAGCTTGTTCAGATTTAGAAATTGCATTTTCGACATTGGAATCCAAATCCACGAAAGCATATAAGTTCTTCGATTTCAAGGCATCTCCATCAACAGTTTCTCTGTTAGACTCCACCCTAAACTTCGTAAATGATTCTTTCGGAACAGCCACATCAATCCTACCCATAACAGTTCCACCTACCATGTCAATTTCCATGTCAACAGCCTCATCACTATCCATATTGGCATGGTCATCATGTTCACTTCCCAAAGGAGAAACCAATGAAGGGAACTCCTTACAAATAAATTTATCATGTTTTGCACGACGGAAAACTCCCCATAAGAAGTTTTCCATGCCTGACCTTGCAATAATATCTGTGAAAGAAAAATTCAATTCATCTCGATGAAGACATCAACATAATTGTGCAAATCTCACGCATGTTCAGCAGCACGGACAATTGGAGATTCAGAAATAAAACATGGCCACCAAGACCCTTGCGATAATCTAAATAGAGCCTAATGTTTTTCATGCAATCTCAAATTGTTTTTATATTTTCAATTCATAACAGGCCACAGATTTGAAATGAATGTTTTGTTAAATGCCTATAAGCCAGAGATTTGAAGTCTAGTCATAAAGGAATTTACTGGTGCACATTTTTAGACTCTTATTCCTTTTTCCTCTTTCTTGATACCTCAACGCTGCAACCATTAACGAAAGAGGACTACGGGAGGCACATTTGGGCTTTAACATAGGCTTTTTCAGATATTTTTAAGAACTATCTATTATAAGACCAAATACTGCTCTTTTTCTGTTGAGTGACCAACGTGAAAGTTACAAAATAGCTATTAATTCAGCGATTTATATGCATGTCCATCAACACATGTCACTACGTTGTTGACAAGTAAAAAATTTTAAGGTGCATCAAAGTAAAGGGAAAGGAACAGTACAAATACGTCATTTCATTGGTTATATTTATGTCCATACTAGAATTGGAATACCTTTTAATAAACAAATTTAAAACTAGGCATGCAAAGATAGGACAAAAAAAAATGAAGCATTTGGCTTCTCTCGCGTTAAATCTAAGCTGTTAGTTTCAAATGAACATCTTGGATTTTATTTGTAAATGAATTTATCACATACTAAATTTTATGTAAGAAAATATCCTAACCACCTATGACTAATAGATGATATAAACTAAAAACCTAACAATTAATTTCAAATCTATGGCTTAGATTTAGCAAATATAACAAATCATATTCCAAGAAATATGGGAGGATCCCAGTGAAAAGTTTGAATAAATATGATGTAATCTAACAACAAATTTAAACATGCATAACATAATCATTCCTTTCTCAACTTGGTGGTTTTTCCTTCACCTCCGGTTTCCCCTCCCCCTACTCACAGTACCACTACAAAAGGTTGATTTTAGCATTTCATAAGTGCTGTGAACCTCCAGCTCGATCACAAAAGGGACAAATAACAGTATAATGAGGGTTAATGCAATAATTCAATACTAGTGTTCTAGATATTCACAAAGAAAAGATACTCTAGTTAAGATCTCAAACAAGAAAAATAAGGGATCAAAAGATTATCCT